TGCAACATTTGGTTAAAAATAGGGCCAAGATTGTTTGCCCATATCTTGCAGCCCTACGTGGCTGTGTGGAAATTCTCAAATGAGTGCAGGAAATGCAGAAATTGATAAGTGCTGAAATGTATTTTGGGTTGAATTGAACAGTATAAAACAATCAGAATGGAGAAAGAGCCATTGAAATCACTTGTATGTGTTGCCACCCTAGGGTCACACACTACTCAAAAAGCAAATGTAGAACTTGTATTATTCAAAAACATAAAATACCGTCCAATTTTTTTTTTTTTAATACCGTGATATTATATTTTGGCCATATATTTTGGCCTATATGCATGTACATTTCTCAGGGAGCTTCCCTAATGGCAACCTACTCCCTAAAAAGTGCACTACTTTTTACCAGAGCCCTATGGACCCTGGACAAAAGTAGTGCCCTATATACAGAAAAGGGTGCCATTTGGAACTGAACCTGAATGTTTTCTTCATTGAGTTGAATAGTGCGGTGTATACTGTATTAATGTCAGTGGTTTCTCCCCCCAGAGAGAAGACGGACCAGGCCCAGTACGACCCGTCCAGACCCAACTACCACCCGGTGGACCACGCCTGCTGGGGGTGGGGACAGAGGTACGTCTAACCCCCTTGTCACAAGGCCACACCCCTCTGTTATATACCTCAACCTGGGTCATGTTCACTAGGCACCAAACGGGACGAATCGGAGAGGGACTACCTGAACTTGTCCAACAAATGCTTGTAACAGTGTGCTCTTATAAATATTAAACGTTGAACAACCTGCACAAGACTTATATACTGTTAATCAGTCTCTCAATGGAGTTGTTTTGACTCATTTTCTCTTTCACAGGGTCCCTTATTTAGCTGTTGCACGTACCTTTGAGAAGATTGAGGAAGACTCTGGCAGGTAAGAGATTTCAATATACCTCCGAAGTTGTGACTTTGTTTATTCTTGGGTAATTTTTTCTTTCACATCATCTTACGTACTAATTGCATTCCTTTTTTTTGCCAGATTGAGGAACATTGAAACATTATCAAATCTTCTACGCTCTGTGATCATCCTCTCTCCAGGTGAAATAGTTTTTTGTTTTTTCCCCTAATGTTTGTGTATGTGGAGCTGGCAGCAACTACATTAGCTATTGGCCCAGTTGCAGGATGTAACCTAACGTATTGAGATGAGTCAGATGGTCTACGTCCCAATTGGCATCGTATTTACTGCATAGTGCACTTCTTTTGACCAGAGCCCTGGTCAAAAGTAGTGCATTATATAAGGAAGAGGGTGCTTATAGGCTCTGGTCAAAATTAGTGCACTATAGGGAGTCATTTGGGATGCTGCCAGAGTGTAGATGAGTCCGATGGATGTGTGTGCTGAGAGTTTTCTATCTTTCTGTTCTTCCTCAGAGGACCTGCTGTGCTGTGTTTACCTGTGTCTCAATCAGTTGGGTCCTGCTTACCTGGGACTGGAGCTGGGAGTGGGAGAAACTGTACTGATGAAAGCTGTTGCCCAAGCAACTGGTAAGGGACATACGTATGACATTGTTATTCATTCTCTTACTTTGCTTTCGGGCTTGGAACTCTTGTCACATCTTACTGTTTTTATTATTCTTGTTGCCAGGGCGACAGTTGGACAAAATCAAGGCGGAGGCTGCAGAGAAGGGCGACTTGGGGTTGGTGGCTGAGAGTTCCCGTAGCAACCAGAGAATGATGTTCCAGCCAGCCAATCTGACGGCAGGGGGCGTGTTCAACAAACTGAAAGACATCGGGAACATGAGTGGGAACTCTGTGAGTTGCCTGTCTTTGTGTGTGATTTTTACATTAACATTCTCAATGTTTTGATACATTTACTGATTAAAAACCACAGTCTTCCACTGTCCAGGGAATAGAATGATGAGTTGATTTGTAATCAGTTTAGAATTGGATGAAAAGGCATGAATTCCTTTACGTTTTTCATCAGTTAGATACTAATATCTAGTGTGCATCCCTATATAGTTCACTACTTTTGACCTGAGCCTTATGTGCCCTGGTCAAAAGTAGTGCACTATATACAGTGCCTTCAGAAAGTATTCATACCCCTTGACTTATTCCAAATGTTGTTGTGTTACAGCCTGAATTCAAAATTGATAGTTTTTTGCTCACCCGTCAACACACAATACCCCATAATGACAAAGTGAAAATGTTTTTATAAATGTTAGCAACTTTATTGAAAATGAAATGCAGAAATATATCATTTACATAAGTATTAAAACCCCTTTGCTATGGTACTCCAAATTGAGCTCAGGTGCATCCAATTTTCTTTGATCATCCTTCATGTCACTACAACATGATATAGAAAGACACACACCTGTCTATATAAGGTCCCATAGTTGACAGTGCATGTCAGAGCAGAAACTATACCATGAAGTCCAAGAAACTGTCCGTAGATCTCAGAGAGATATGCCTCATCACAGTTCTATCTGGGGAAAGGTATAAAACTATTTCTAGAGTGTTGGAAGTTTCCAAGAGAACAGTGGTCTCCATAATTGGGAAATTGAAAAAATATGGAACTACCCAGACTCTGTCGAGAGCTGGCCGTCCGACCAAACTGAACAACCGGGCAAGAACGACCTTGGTTAGGGAGGTGACCAAGAACCCAATGACCACTCTGATAGAACTACAGAGTTATTTAGCTGCAATAGGAGAACCTGCTAGAAGGACAACAGTCTCTACAGCACTTCACCAATCTGGGCTTTATGGGAGAGTGACCAGACGGAAGCCACTCCTTAGAAAAAGGCACATGCTGGCACGCCCAGAGTTTATAAAAAGGCACGTGAAAGACCATTTCTTTTTTTTAAACTATTTTGCCCGAATCAAAGCTCTGTCTGGAGAAAACCAGGCACAGATCATCACCCATCTAACACCATCCCTACCATGAAGCATGGTGGTGGCAGCATCATGCTATGGGGATGCTTTTCACCGGCAGGGACTGGGAGAATGGTAAGGCTAGAGGGAACAACGAATGGAGCCAAATACAGGCAAATCCTCGATGAGAACCAGCTTCAGAGTGCAAACGACCTTAGACTGTGTTGAAGATTTATGTTCCAACAGGACAATGACCTCAAGATATACAGCCAAAGCAACGCTGGAATGGCTTCAGAACAAGAATGTGAAAGTCTTCGAGTGGCCCAGCCAAAGCCAAGACTTAAATCCCATTGAAAATCTGTGGAAGATTGCTGTAAACCGCTCCCCATATAACTTAAGAGTGTGAAGAAGAAGCCGACGCGGCGGATCGAACAGTGAGACAGACGGGATGTTCTGGTGCTCACCTCTCTTAGAGGCTTTTTACAATATTAACAGGTGCAGGATGAATTGGCCAATAAACTTTGTACAGAAAATAACAAACAGGACGTTGACAGACTTTAATAAATCAGATATTCTCAGTATAAACTATTCCGGCAACAACTCTTTGCCTATAACACATTTCAGGTATGGCTCTACTCTAACCAACCTGTTACCTGCCCATCCTGCTGTCCCCCAGGAAAAGGCCAACTGAGCACCTAAATATTATTTCCAGGAACTCCCTTCCGCTAGGAATGTTCTATCATGATAGCCCCAAAACACAGTTCTACTATAAATGCGTTATTTGCCATGGACCTATAACATCCTAAACAACAGTTTTACATAAACACACACTTCAAGAACTTGTGCCATAACCACACAATACACATTCATGAAGTAATTCACACCCGGGATAATTCATCACTTTGTTTATTCCCATCAACCAATAAATGTTCCTCGAAGACTCAGACTAATTTGTGTCATGCGTAATACACACCGGCACTTCAGCGTGGAGCTTCAAACAAACACATTAGGTAGGTAATATTTTATGATTATTTTCTAGTAACACTTCGATCGTTATTGTAATAATATATTTACATTGCTAGAGCATGTACGTTTTAAATGGGCAGCTTTATACACGGTAGAAACATGGTTAACAAGTTACATTGTTTTAGTAACTGGCGTGCACAACTAACACTTGACTTTGGCACCTTATGTCAAAGTATTGTTGGCAAACGGAATACGCAACTCTAACCAACTTATTCTCTTGTTTCAGGTTTCTTGGCTATACCTTGAAGAGATAAAATAAAGTCTTTCTCCAACCAATAATTTGTTTCATTGTCTATAAGTCACGGACATGCACTACATGACACAGAGCTTAAGAAAATCTGCAAGGAAGAATGGGAGAAAATCCCCAAATCCCAGATATGCAAAGCTGATAGACATACCCAAGACGACGCAAAGCTATAGTCGCCGCCAAAGATGCTTTTGCAAAGTATTGACTCGGGTGTGAATACTTATGTAAATGAGATTTCTGTATTTCATTTTCAACAGTTGCAAAATTTTCAAAAAACGTGTTTTACATTTTTCCATTATGGTATATTGTGTGTAGATGGGTGAGGAAAAAAATCTAAATTTAATCAATTTTGATTTCAGGCTGTAACACAACAAAATGTGGAATAAGTCAAGAGGTATGAATACTTTCTGAAGGCCCTATAGGTAATCGGGTGACATTTGGGACACAAGCCCTAGTCCTGTAGTAGTTCTTTGCTCCTTTTCTCTGTATCTTCTTTCCTTTCGTATCCTCTCCTTTACCAAGCTACCTCTGAATCTCTCAGCCCTTTCTCTCGCTCTCTCTCTGCAGGCCATGAATAAGAAGATTGACATCATCAAAGGTCTCTTTGTAGCCTGCCGCTTCTCTGAGGCCAGATACATTGTCAGGTAATGTGACTTCACTGCCTTCACTTTACTACTGGTCAACCTGATGATGTCTCCCAAATGGCTCCCTATATAGTGCACTACTTTTGACCAGAGCCCTATTGGCCAAAAGCAGTGCACTACAAAGGGAATAGGGTGCCATTTGGGATGAACTTAACACCTGTCGGTCTGTACTCATTGAGTACAGGCCTTTGATAAAATGTTTGCGATCCTTTTAATGGTTTAGACAAGAGGATTTAGAGTGGAGCATGTTTTCTTCCTTCACTAGTCAATCTGAACCTTGTATTACACCTGTCTGTCCATTCACAAGCAGCTGGTCGTCACAGTAACAGATTAAGATGGTACTTAGCTTTTTTACCAGCTAATACACAGTACATACACCAAAAAGGACACCGTCAAAGCAGCACAACATCAATAAATGTTAAAAACAAAGTCTAATTTCAGATTGTCATGTCTGTATTGGTTGATTGATTGATTGATTGACAGGTCTCTGGTAGGGAAGCTGAGGATAGGCTTGGCTGAGCAGAGTGTACTGGCTGCCCTGAGTCAGGCTGTGTGTCTGACTCCTCCAGGACAAGGTGAGCCAGCTAACCTTTTTACAATGTTCACACAACATGACCCCCACAACATCATCACAATGTTTACACAACATTACCTCCAACTTTATGACCTTTTCACAATGTTACTTCAAAATTATAACGATTTCACAATATCACAATGTTTTCGCCACATTTTCACAATACTACCACAACATTACCACTCAACATTGCCCCAACATTATTACAATATAACCCCTACATATGATAAATGTCTTCCTTTATTGTGACTGAGACATTGGTTCATGTGTAATTCTAGACTTCCCTCCAGCGGTGATCGATGCAGGGAAAGGAATGAGTGCAGAAAAACAGAAAGCCTGGATAGAGGAGAAGAGCCTTATCCTTAAACAGACCTACTGGTACTGTACACATCTAAACCCACTGTATATACTCACTCACAGTACATTCCCTAAATACCACCAGAACTACACCCTGACTCTGGCTGCGTCCCAAATGAACACCCTTTTACCTAGATCAGTGGTTGTCAACCTTTTTTGGGTACTGTACAAACCATGTGAATTTAGCTCTGCCTGGAGTACTAGTACCCCTGGTTGAGAACCACTGCACAATAGTGCACTACTTTTGACCAGGGCCCCATAGTGTACCATTTGGGACACACTGATTCACTCTATTGACTGACTCTTACTGGTGATGTTTTCTTATTTGTCCACTCCAGTGAGATGCCCAACTATGATGTCATCATCCCAGTACTGATGAAGGAGGGCATAGATGAACTGCCCAAACACTGCAAACTCACCCCAGGTACAGTACTGAATGTCAGGGTTGTGTGTGGTGTGTGTGTGCTGATTTCTGACACCCTCCTCTCCCCCTCCTCAGGTGTGCCATTGAGGCCCATGCTGGCTCACCCCACCAAAGGTGTAGGAGAGGTGATGAAGAGGTTCGATGAAGCCGCCTTCACCTGCGAGTACAAGTATGATGGAGAAAGAGCACAGGTGTGTGTGTCTTCTCACATGCTCACTTACTGTGTGTGTGTGTATACAGTGAGGGGAAAAAAGTATTTGATCCCCTGCTGATTTTGTTCGTTTGCCCACTGACAAAGACATGATAAGTCTATAATTTTAATGGTAGATTTATTTGAACAGTGAGAGACAGAATAACAACAAAAAAATCCAGAAAAACGCATGTAAAAAAATAGGGAAATAAGTATTTGACCCCTCTGCAAAACATGACTTAGTACTTGTTCAGACGTTTCTTGTAGTTGGCCACCAGGTTTGCACACATCTCAGGAGGGATTTTGTCCCACTCCTCTTTGCAGATCTTCTCCAAGTCATTAAGGTTTCGAGGCTGATGTTTGGCAACTCGAACCTTCAGCTCCCTCTACAGATTTTCCTTGGATTAAGGTCTGGAGACTGGCTAGGCCACTCCAGGACCTTAATGTGCTTCTTCTTGAGCCACTCCTTTGTTGCCTTGGCCGTGTGTTTTGGGTCATTGTCATGCTGGAATACCCATCCATGACCCATTTTCAATGCCCTGGCTGAGGGAAGTAGGTTCTCACCCAAGATTTGACGGTACATGGCCCCGTCCATCGTCCCTTTGATGCGGTGAAGTTGTCCTGTCCCCTTAGCAGAAAAACACCCCCAAAGCATAATGTTTCCACCTCCATGTTTGATGGTGGGGATGGTGTTCTTGGGGTCATAGGCAGCATTCCTCCTCCTCCAAACACGGCGAGTTGAGTTGATGCCAAAGAGCTCGATTTTGGTCTCATCTGACCACAACACTTTCACCCAGTTCTCCTCTGAATCATTCAGATGTTCATTGGCAAACTTCAGACGGGCCTGTATATGTGCTTTCTTGAGCAGGGGGACCTTGCGGGCGCTGCAGGATTTCAGTCCTTCACGGCGTAATGTGTTACTAATTGTTTTCTTGGTGACTATGGTCCCAGCTGCCTTGAGATCATTGACAAGATCCTCCTGTGTAGTTCTGGGCTGATTCCTCACCGTTCTCATGATCATTGCAACTCTACAAGGTGAGATCTTGCATGGAGCCCCAGGCCAAGGGAGATTGACAGTTATTTTGTGTTCCTTCCATTTGCGAATAATCGCACCAACTGTTGTCACCTTCTCACCAAGCTGCTTGGCGATGGTCTTGTAGCCCATTCCAGCCTTGTGTAGGTCTACAATCTTGTCCCTGACATCCTTGGAGAGCTCTTTGGTCTTGGCCATGGTGAAGAGTTTGGAATCTGATTGATTGATTGCTTCTGTGGACAGGTGTCTTTTATACAGGTAACAAACTGAGATTAGATGCACTCCCTTTAAGAGTGTGCTCCTAATCTCAGCTCGTTACCTGTATAAAAGACACCTGGGAGCCAGAAATCTTTCTGATTGAGAGGGGGTCATACTTATTTCCCTCATTAAAATGCAAATCAATTTATAACATTTGACATGTGTTTTTCTGGATTTTATTGTTGTTATTCTGTCTCTCACTGTTCAAATAAACCTACCATAAAAATTATACACTGATCATTTCTTTGTCAGTGGGCAAACGTACAAAATCAGCAGGGGATCAAATACTTTGTGTGTGTGTGTGTGTATATATATATATATATATATATATATACACACACACGTACAGTTGAAGTCGGAAGTTTACATACACTTAGTTGGAGTCATTAAAACTCGTTTTTCAACCACTCCACAAATTTCTTGTTAACAAACTATAGTTTTGGCAAGTCAGTTAGGACATCCACTTTGTGCATGACACAAGTAATTTTTTCCAACAATTGTTTACAGACAGATTATTTCACTTATAATTCACTGTATCACAATTCCAGCGGGTCAGAAGTTTACATACACTATGTTGACTGTGCCTTTAAACAGCTTGGAAAATTCCAGAAAATGATGTCATGGCTTTAGAAGCTTCTGATAGGCTAATTGACATAATTTGAGTCAATTCGAGGTGTACCTGTGGATTTATTTCAAGGCCTATCTTCAAACTCAGTGCCTCTTTGCTTGACATCATGGGAAAATCAAAGGAAATCAGTCAAGACCTCAGAAAAATGTTTTGTAGACCTCCACAAGTCTGGTTCATCCTTGGGAGCAATTTCCAAACGCCTGAAGGTACCACGTCCATCTGTACAAACAATAGTATGCAAGTATAAACACCATGGGACCACGCAGCCGTCATACCGCTCAGGAAGGAGACGTGTTCTGTCTCCTAGAGATGAACGTACTTTGGTGCGAAAAGTGCAAATCAATCCCAGAACAACAGCAAAGGACCTTGTGAATCGGAAGTTTACATACACCTTAGCCAAATACATTTAAACTCAGTTTTTCACAATTCCTGACATTTTAATCCTAGTAAAAATTCCCTGTCTTAGGTCAGTTAGGATCACCACTTTTTTTAAAGAATGTGACATTTCAGAATAATAGTAGAGAGAATGGTTTATTTTAGCTTTTGTTTCTTTCATCACATTCCCAGTGGGTCAAAAGTTTACATACGCTCAATTAGTATTTGGTAGCATTGCCTTTAAATTGTTTAACTTGGGTCAAACGTTTCGGTTAGCCTTCCACAAGCTTCCCACAATAAGTTGGGTGAGCTGGTGTAACTGAGTCAGGTTTGTAGGCCTCCTTGCTCGCACACACTTTTTCAGTTCTGCCCACACATTTTGTGTAGGATTGAGGTCAGGGCTTTGTGATGGCCACCCCATTACCTTGACTTTGTTGTCCTTACACCATTTTGCCACAACTTTGGAAATATGCTTGGGGTCATTGTCCATTTGGAAGACCCATTTGCGACCAAGCTTTAACTTCCTGACTGATGTCTTGAGATGTTGCTTCAATATATCCACATAATTTTCCTTCCTCATAATGCCATCTATTTTGTGAAGTACACCAGTCCCTCCTGCAACAAGCACCCCCACAGCATGATGCTGCCACCACCGTGCTTCACGGTTGGGATGGTGTTCTTCGGCTTGCAATTACTCCCTTTTTCCTCCAAACATAAAGATGGTCATTATGGCCAAACAGTTCTATTTTTGTTTCATCAGACCAGAGGACATTTCTCCAAAAAGTACAATCTTTGTCCCCATGTGCAGTTGCAAACCGTAGTCTGGCTTTTTTATGGCTGTTTTGGAGCAGTGGCTTCTTCCCTGCTGAGTGGCCTTTCAGGTTATGTCAATATTGGACTCGTTTTACTGTGGATATAGATACTTTTGTACATTTTTCCTCCAGCATCTTCACAAGGTCCTTTGCTGTTTTTCTGGGATTGATTTGCACTTTTCGCACCAGCGTACGTTCATCTCTAGGAGACAGAACGCGTCTCCTTCCTGAGCGTTATGATGGCTGCGTGGTCCCATGGTGTTTATACTTGCGTACTATTGTTTGTACAGATGAACGTGGTACCTTCAGGCGTTTGGAAATTGCTCCCAAGGATGAACCAGACTTGTGGAGGTCTACAATTTTTTTTATTTGGATTTTCCCATGATGTCAAGCAAATAGGCACTGAGTCTGAAGGTAGGCCTTGAAATCATCCACAGTTACACATCCAATTGACTCAAATGATGTCAATTAGCCTATCAGAAGCTTCTAAAGCCATGACATCATTTTCTCAAAATTTCCAAGCTGTTTAAAGGCACAGTCAACTTAGTGTATGTAAACTTCTGACCCACTGGAATTGTGATACAGTGAATTATAAGTGAAATAATCTGTCTGTAAACAATTGTTGGAAAAATTACTTGTGTCATGCACAAAGTAGATGTCCTAACCGACTTGCCAAAACTATAGTTTGTTAACAAGAAATTTGTGGAGTGGTTGAAAAACGAGTTTTAATGACTCCAACCTAAGTGTATGTAAACTTCCGACTTCCAACTGTATATACACTGTATGTGTGTGTGTATATTTATATGTATGTGTGTGTATGTTTGTCAACTGTTTCCCCTATTAGAAAACAGACATGATGCTGTTGTCTCAGGCTGTTGGCTGTGTGAGCCCCTCCCAGTAGAGGCATTGGAGAGAGCAGTGTGATGTCTCTTCTCATTCTCTATTTATCCTTCCTCAATTTCTCGTAACCTCTCTGCTCACCTTCTCAAAGCACATTGGAGCAGAAGATCTGTCTTCCTCCCCTAGAACCTTCTTCTCCAATGCGTTTTGAGGAGGAGGCCGAGAAGAGAGAGGCCAGGAGTCAGGAAAATACAATAGAAATTCACTTGAGATTCACTCAGGGAGCAGTGCGACACCTCTTATTCTCTGTGCCTTTAAACTGTGGTGTGAGTCCTGAAACGGCCACCAGATGGAACTCTAAGATGCTGGCATCTGGAGCTTCTGTCTACTCAAATAGTTGGGCTCTATCTCAATTGGTCTTTCTGTGATTCCTCAGATCCTATCTCCTCAAATTCTTCTCAACCATATTGGAGGAGAAGAGCCAAGGCCCCTCCCCTCTGACCTTCTTCTCCAGTGGGTTTTTTGAAGGGGGCTAGAAGAGCGGATGCGAGGAATCGAGGAAGAATCAATTGAGGAAAAAGCCTTGGACACTGCCTGTCTCTCTACTCTCTAGATACGATAGGAAACTCACTCACTGTTATTGGTTGAATGCTAACTATTGTTTATTGTATTTGGTAGATCCATATTCTGGAGAACGGGGACGTGCATATTTTCAGTCGCAACCAGGAAGACAATACAAGCAAATATCCCGATATCATCTCTCACATTTCCATGGTAATAGTAACCCTCTAAAATACTAGCACACTCCAGATGCATCCCAAATGGCACCCTATTCCCTATATAGTGCACTACTTTTGACAAGGGCCAATAGGGCTCTGGTCAAAAGTAGTGCACTACATAGGGAATAGGGTGCCATTTGGGATGCACCCTCAGGCAGCATCTTAGCCCCTTCATGGTCATAAGCGCACTGCATGAATAATACCAATGCCTCTCTTTCTCGCGCCTCTATTTCGCTCTCTCTTTCTCTCCCCTTCACCTCCCTCTCTGCCTTCCCCTCCCCCCTTTCTCTCTCACACCCCTCCTCCCTCTCTCCCTCCCTCCCTCCCTTCTCAGGTAAAGAAGGAGTCTGTGGTGTCCTGTGTGCTTGACTCTGAGGCTGTGGCTTGGGACAGAGAGAAGCAACAGATCCAGCCATTCCAGGTGCTCACCACACGGAAGAGAAAGGTGAGAGGAAAGAGAAATAAGGGGGGAAACATACTCAGTATCCATGGTTTTGGTTTCTGTAATCATTTTCATAACAGCTGGATGGGTGATTACCCAGGCAGCTGTTTTCACAAGTTGTCCACAGTGGTAGTCCTCTGTAGCTCAGCTGGTAGAGCACGGCGCTTGTAACGCCAAGGTAGTGGGTTCGATCCCCGGGACCACCCATACACAAGGTATGCCCAACTGGTAGTAGATTACTTTCCTACCATGCGCTATGATCATCAGGTGGACTGCTTTGTTTGACCCCTCATCCTCAAGCTGTTAGGTTAGACCTGCCGGGAGTTACCTCTGAGGTGGCCGTTGAGGTACACAAGCCCCCTGACTGCGACAATATACTGAGTACAGGGACCAAAAGATATAGGTTTTGAATGCTCTTTTTAGTGTGTAGGTAGGTAGGTGTGTGTGTATGGTCATGTTTAGTTATGTTGGTGTTAAATTACTTGTTGAATTCTTTTACAGAACGTGGATGCAGCTGATATCAAGGTCCAAGTGTGTGTGTACGCCTTTGACCTGCTGTATCTCAACGGAGAGGTGAGTTGGATGAGGATGGGAGTTATGGAGTCTGGTAGACATTAGTAAGTACAGAGTAAGTAAACCTTGTTCCAGCCAGAACGGCCCATAGGGCAGGAGCCTACCCCTTTTCTGTAGCATGAGGCAGCTTGATGTTTAAGCACACCAGTGTTAATATTGCCACTCTTTTTTTAGATTGTCTAGTCTTAGTCATTTTGACTGAAATATCATTAAGTCAAATTTTTTGGTCATTTGAATAATGATTTAATCTAGTTATTGTCAAAATGACAAAAATTGACCATTTCACTCAGCTTTTATTTTTAATGCCTCATTAACTTATAGTAAACACAATTCACTGACTTCCATGTGCACAAACATGCATAGTCGTGTCCTACCAACATATTTTTCTGCATAACAAACTATTGCATGATTTTCTTCCCAACAGCCAAATTTACATTTAAGTCATTTCAGTCATTCGGGCTCTGATCAGTCCCTACACCCAAACGAGGGCATTGCGTTCATCCACCTCTGGCCTGCTGGCTCCCCTTCCTCTGCGGAAGCATAGTTCCCGCTCAGCCCAGTCAAAACTGTTCGCTGCACTGGCACCCCAATGGTGGAACAAGCTCCCTCACGACGCCAGGACAGCGGAGTCACTCACCACCTTCCGGAGACATTTGAAACCCCACCTCTTTAAGGAATACCTGGGATAGGATAAAGTAATCCTTCTACCCCCCCCCCCCCAAAAAAAAAAAAAAAAAAAAAAAAAGTGTAAAGTGGTTTTCCCACTGGCTATAGGGTGAATGCACCAATTTGTAAGTCGCTCTGGATAAGAGCGTCTGCTAAATGACGTAAATGTGCCCTTGAGCAAGGCACTTAACCCTAATTGCTCCTGTAAGTCGCTCTGGATAAGAGCGTCTGCTAAATGACTAAAATGTAAATGTAAAATTTAGCAGACGCCCTTATCCAGAGCGACTTACAGTTAGTGAGTGCATAATTTTTTTTTCATACTGGCCCCCCGTGGGAAACGAACCCACAACCCTGGTGTTGCAAACGCCATGCTCTACCAACTGAGCTACATCCCTGCCGGCCATTCCCTCCCCTACCCTGGACGACGCTGGGCCAATTGTGCGCCGCCCCATGGGTCTCCCGGTCACGGCCGGCTACGACAGAGCCTGGATTCGAACCAGGATCTCTAGTGGCACAGCTAACACAATGCAGTGCCTTAGACCACTGCGCCACTCGGGAGACAAATTGCCAGAAGAACGCATTCATCTGCAGCAGATAAAAAAATCACACCCCTTGTCAGTGCTCCAGACTAACATTTCCCCTAACTTTTTCAGTTGGTGGCACCAGCCCATCATTCGCACCAATTTTCAATAGAAATGTTTTGTAATCGCCTTATAAAGTCATTCACAGTGCTTTAGACTGTGTAATAGACTACTGAGATGGTAGGCTATTCAATAAATAAGTTGTTTCATCTAACGTCCAAGCAGGAATGCATGATTCAAGATATGTTGATTTGCTACCTAATCCAAGGATTGTCATTAATTGTGGGTTGACAATAGGGCGTTATATTTTACTGTTAAAATAGGGCTCCAGGATGTTTGGAATTTTGTTTGATCTTTATGTGCGCTAATATCGTAGGCTAATTTATTTTGGGGCTAATTCACCACAGGAAGTGAACTCAAAACACATTAGCTAGATTGCTAACCCTAAGTATAATACCCACTGCTAGTGTCCTGTGTGGCTCACTAGGTAGAGCATGGCACTTGCAACACCAGGGTTGTGGGTTTGATTCCCATTAGGGGACCAGTATGAAAATGTATGCTCTGGACATTAAATGTAATGTCCTAAAAAAAAAACGTTGTAGCTTGCGACCCTATGCACTCGCAATTGCACGCTTCGCATCTTAAAGCCATACCAAATATCTTGGTTGTAAAATAGTTGCTTTTCAGCTCAATATTAAGAGATGAAAAATAAAAATTATACCCACAGAAAGCTGAGAACAGTAGTTGCTTCCAAAGCTATGTATTTCCCAAATTGGATTTTGAAATGTTAGACAATCAGAAGCCTTTTTTTCTTTCTCCCGGAGCGCACATCAAGTGGCTCGCTCATCACAGCAGCAGGCCCCAGTGAAACAGGCCCAGGTGCTGGGCAGACAATTTCATTAGTGGAATCATGAGGATAATGCACTTTACTGTTTGACCAAATCATGGTTTTAGTTGCCAAAAAATAAGACGTTTAAGACGTTTTAAGACCATGTAATGAATGTTCAGCTCGCACTGATGCGACCAATACATTTTTTAAAACTCGCACAGCCAGGTCAAAGGGTCGCAAAATGAGACTAAATAGTCACAGTCTGGAGCCCTGCCTCTTGACATACTGTAGATATATTGTAATCAAAGTTCTGTCATAAGAAGTGGTCTGATAGGTTGCAGCAAACTAACTAGCTAGCATTATCAATTACCTGAGCGTGTATATTGGGATGAATCACTTTCAGTCTTGAGGTTGGTATTATATTTTTCCCCGTCAACGTGTTGGTGAAAAATGCTGTCTTCTGTGGAAATGTTACATTCGGTCTTGTTTGAATGGAAACGATAAGGAAAGTGGCTCCAAAGGTCGGCCCATTTTTCTAGCGGCAGCTTGTACCACCTAAGGAGCCATGGTGTGTCTTATTTGCATCAATGATTTGTTGCCGCCAGATTGGAGAACGGTTGCCGGGCAGAGAGGTGACTCGTGAATGACCTGGGCATGGTATTTATTTTACAACAATAACAGCATTGCAACATTGCAATGAGAGAGCCTTACAATTCTACTGATTTCACCAAACTAATGACACTAAAAAGCTCTCGTTCTCTCCAAAATCTCTTGTTCAGTCCACTTACTAGTCAGATTTTAATCACAGAGATAATTTAGTCTAATCTTGTTTTTGTCAACTGAAATGAAAAACCATTTAGTTATATTTTATTCTGGCTCTATTTGGTCATCTTTTTACTAATATCTTCGTCACTTTTCATTGACGAAATGAACACTGAAGTACACCCCCTGGACAGGATGCTAGTGTTAGATATTAGACATTGAATCATTAGACATTGATTGTAATGTTTGTCATTTCAGTGGTGGTAATGGTGTGTGTGTGTGTGTCTCAGTCTCTGGTAAAGCAGCCCCTGTCCCGTCGCAGGGCTCTTCTGAAGGATAGCTTCGAGGAGAAGGAGGGAGAGTTTGTGTTCGCCCGCGCTATTGACTCAGACAACACAGACACCATCGCCGAGTTCCTGGAGCAGTCTGTTCGAGGTGTGTGTGTCAGTGTGGGAGCAGTCTATTCACTGTGTGTGTGTGTGTGTGTGTGAGAGAGACAGGAGCCAACCATGTGTTTGTGTGGGAGGTCAATCCTGTCTTCTGATCTCCTTCTCTCCTGAAGTTGTTTATTAATTAATTTATTGGGCCCTGGTCAAAAGTATTGCACTATATAGGGAATGGGGTGCCATTTGGGATGCATACTTAATTGTATGTTCTTCTGTGTGTGATTTTGGTTGAATCCGCAGACTCCTGTGAGGGACTAATGGTGAAGACTCTGGAGAAAGATGCCACTTATGAAATCGCCAAGCGCTCTCACAACTGGCTCAAGGTACACACACACACACACATGCACGCACACATACACAAACCACACACACGTATGCACCAGGTGTTCCCAATCGTTTTTGACCCACAACCCCATTTTGATATCTGAAAATTCTCACACCCCAACCATGTGAACCAAATTATGTAATTAACAGACAATGTTTACTTTTTTATTTGGGGCTATGGCAGTCAATTGAAAAACATTCTAACAGTATTTCTGATTGTCTTCTCAACTCCCCATCACATACTTTTAATGTGGGGCTATGACAATCATTTGCAAATTAGTCTGACATAATGTATCTTATGTCACCACCACTAATGATGGGTGTGCTTGATGCATGTCGCGTCGGCGCTTCTCAAAGTCAGGGGGCGTGGTTTACAGTGCGCACCTCATCTCTGGTTTTAATGCAGACAAGAGCTCTGAATCCAGCTTCACACAGATATGAGCTGGCGAATGGTACCATGAGTTTTATGGTGCTTTCAAGACAACTGGGAACTCTGAAAAATACGAGGTCAAATCATGACGTCCGTGATCTTCAGGTCGGAAATCTGGAAAGAGGCCTGAGTTCCCGAGTTGGAAGTCCGAGTTGGATGACCGTTCAAAACTATTTTCCCAGTCGGTGCCCGTTTCTTTACGATGTCCCAGTTGTCTTGAATGCACTGAAGTCTGAGATTGCCGAGTTTCCAGTTGCCAGTTGTTTTGAAGCGGCATTAATGCTCAGAGGGAGACTGCAGGGTATCCCTTTTTGAGTCAAGAACCAAAACTCCTCTGTAGTGACCCCTGAATGCATTCGGTCACATGACCGCTCAATCAGCTGTTCGATTTCACTTACCGGCATGTCAACTGAGCCAGTGTCACAGTCAAACAGATTGGGAAGTTGGTCCCAAAGTGCTCTTCCAAGCATTGGAGGTGAGCAGTCATCACTCGTGTGGGACACCTTATTGATGCTGTTTCCTGTTAGAAACATGCACAGCCGAGGGAAGGGGGCATGGTTTGCTTTTGAAAGACTCTTTCTCCAATAAGAATTATTTCCTATGAATCGACTGATTCGGTCACTCATTTGTAGAATGTTTTTCTATTTCCCCTCCATGCTTTCGTTCAGTTTCCCAAATATGTCTGTTACATAGGCAAGGAGACACATTTTCTTTTCACTCCACAGAAAGTCAACCAAGTCAGTTTTTTTTACAACCATTGTGAATGAAGACAGTTCCTCTCTCAATGCGAAAAATCTTTCCAACACTCCCCCTCGATAACCACCAAGCCTCTGTATGAAATAGAACATCGTCATGCTCTGAACCCATATCTCCACATAGTTTTGCGAACAGGCATGCACGCAGTGGATGTGGTTTGATGTAGTTTACAATCGAAGTTACCTGCTACAGTATATCTCAGAGTTCTGTACTCAGCTCTTTTGCCACCAGTTGCTCTCGTGTATCATACAATGCGTCCATATGGCAGAGGGAGACACATTCATAACTAGAGCGCAGAGGCCTGCCCGCTGTTCCGCCATAAATGGAGCCCCATCTGTGCAAAAGCCCACCATTCGATCCCATATGGAATCTGTTTTTTGTCAATATAGCCACGCAGCACACTGAACATCCCATATGCCGTTTCATGCTCGGGAATCGTGAGACAGAACGATATGTCCTTGTGAATAGCATCCCCCGATATGTATCGTAAACAAAGGCAAAGCATAGGCATCTCAGCCCTCACAGCTAACGTCCGTTTGGAGTTTGAGTCGTTCAGTCAGTTTCCTCTTGATTGCTAGCAATAGCATAAATTATTTAACAGTGTTATCTGACAAAGGTATTGATATGAGTTTCTGTGACTCTGCCTCCCCACACATTGTTTTCACCGTATCAATTGTGGCCGGTAATATCGAAGTCTCTGCAATAGTGTATGGTTTCATAGCGTAGTCGGCCTAGCCATTCACCGTGGGAATGATTCAAGTGCAACGGTCAAGTGCAGCCTTTTCCCATTATCTAAGGGCGCTCTGGTTGAATTTGATCTTTTAGATTTTAATAATTTTCATATCGATTTCTAAGATGAACCACATTACAATGATTTTGAGAAATGAAGATGATATAATATTTTTTATATATTTTTTAGTATGGGGGGTTGGAAATTCTCCTGCTAACCCCATTTTCATATCTGGCGACCCCACATGGAGTTGCGACCCCTAGTTTGGGAACCGCTGGTGTATACACTCACACTCGCTCTCATAATAACTACTCACATGAATACCTACCATTCATCCCTGTCTCTCTGTCTAGCTGAAGAAGGACTATCTGGATGGGGTGGGGGACACGGTGGATCTGTGTGTGATTGGAGCGTATCTGGGGAAGGGCAAGAGAACCGGGACCTATGGAGGCTTCCTGCTCGCCTGCTACGATGAGGACAATGAAGAGTTCCAGTCAGTCTGCAAGGTCTGTGTGTGTACCTCCTTGCCTAGGAGGTGACTTTTTGTCTGTCTCTGTTGGTTTGTGTCTCTGAAAGGTGATACAGCGCCTCAGGCCAAATAGGATAAAGGCATTTTGCACAGGGATTTCTTTCACAATTCTTTGTTATTCGGCTCTGCTAAATGTCTCATCTGGCTTACCACGGGAATATGTTTTTCCGGTTCTTTTGTCTTTGCAGATCGGGACAGGTTTCAAGGATGAAGATTTGGAGCAACATTACAAATTCTTAACGGTACAGTACAGAGACGTTTCTGTGTTCTATGCTCGCTTGTGTAGCGAATCTGCCAAAAGTCTTTAGACCCAATTAACTATGAACACATTGTATTTTCCAGGAGCACATTTTGCCCAAGCCCCGCCCCTATTATCGTGTGGACCAATCAACAGAGCCCGATGTGTGGCTCGGTGCCGTGCAAGTATGGGAAGTAAAGTGTGCCGACCTATCGCTGTCGCCGATCTACAAGGCTGGCATGGGATTGGTTAGTAGAACTCGTCCTTGTACACTGGCTCATCAGTACTAATGATATTTTGATTTTAGGCCAGTTTAAAGTAATTTGGGAAGTGAATAATTTGATTCAATGCAATTTCATTTTTGAGGGCCGACAGTGACGCGACCACAACAGAATCTTTAACTCAATAATCCCTTCTGCAAATCTAAAATGTGTTAATTCTCACCATCTGTTTTGGTGTCAGGATGCTGCTAAATCTCTCCGCAACATTAAAAAATATATATATTTCCAAAATCTCGTGAGGATCATGCCACTTTTTGCTTCCCCTTCAAAATGATATTATTTAATAGACCTACCATGAAGCCACCATGTTACCCATAGCTTAAAAACATACTCGTATAGGCCTAAGTAAAATGTTTAGGCAAAATCTCAGGACCGTCTCAGAGTAGCAGTGCTGTCCTAACATCCTATTCAGTACTCTTACTCCAAAGCTCTTTGTGGATATGGGTCATAATCTGTGCTTCGCATTAGTACTCAACCAAGCTGTGATATCATGGTACTATGTTAGATTAAATAAAGAGTTGCCATCCTCGAATCAGTAGTTCATAATCTTAAAACTCTGGGTGCAGGGTTTAAAAGGCATATTAACTGTGAAAGGTAAAACCCACACTCACTGAGTTGTAATGTCTTTGGCAGCAGCAGAAGTTCAACAGACAAGTTTAGGTGAAAATATGATTCATAGCTTTTCTTTGGCCCTCTCTGGTCTTCTCCCAGTGTGACCCAGAGAAGAGCTTCAACCGCTTGCTCAGGTTAGGGTAAGGGCTAGGCCCTAATGGATAGTTGGTTGAAATGTTGTTGACAAACCATCTATTTGGAACTATCCAAATAAAGTGTTACTGATGATTCATGCCTTTGATTCCTCTCTCCCAGTGTGACCCAGAGAAGGGCATCTCTCTTCGGTTCCCACGCTTCCTGAGGATCCGAGATGATAAAAAGCCAGAGGACGCAACTTCAGGAGGACAGGTACATGAAGACACTGCCGTGACGGACTGGAGTGATGTATCTCGTAGTACAACGTTTCTCTGGTTCCATCCCAAATGTATTTCTATGTAGGGTGTCCAATCAAAAACGCATATTTTCACCAATGGGTAAAATCAATGGTCCAAACCTCATGTCCATATCATAATCCATTCAAAAGTTATTGGAGTTTTTACCGTTGTAGGATGGCCAAAATTAGGGTGACTAAATCAAAAAGAAAATGAAATAAGGAAAAGTGGACAGCATCTGCTAGGCTAGATGCTATGCGAGAATAAAGGCTACTTGACAGGATCACTTTCCCGTTGAACTCATCTTCTCGAATCCGCAGGACATAAAACAATGTAAGATGTATATCGGTTTAGAGACATGATATGTAGTATTTTCATATTTTAGGATACCCTTTTCATATTCATGCGAAATTCCTGTTATTTTTTGAAGATTTCTCACAAAAACAAGCGTATCTATGAAATGTCAACAGAGCACTGAGTGTACAGCAAGCTTTTGATTTTCAACGCCTTTTACATTTAATTCAGCTCGTGTCATGCTAATTTAGCTTTTTGCGACCTGCGGAAACAACTTTGAAGACGAGAACGACAACATGTAAAATCCTCAAGTTGCTGCGAGAAAGCTGCATGCTCTTTCAACAGAGCTCGCTGATTGTTATCGGATGTATTAGGTTATGAATTCTGCCTTTTTGGATATACTGTTAATGAAATGTTAGAGACAGACCCCACTAATGATTCAGAACTTTTCTAATCATAATTGTCTTGGTAGAATGTATTTTATAAAATAAGGAAGGGAAATTTCATCACCAAAGCGCGTTTTCACCCACTGGGCGGAGTTGGTGGACACCCTGTTCTATAGAAGAAAACCTGCCGTCAGAGACAGAAGGCACCTTATTCCAAGTCAAAGGTAGTGCTCTAAATAGGGAATAGGGTGCCTTTTGGACACACCCTCTGTCTGACGGCAGTTTTCTTTCATAGAAATACATCATTTTATATCTATGCTTTCCTCACTCTCTATTTGAAGGATCCCCTCTCCCCCCTCCCCTCTGTATTTCAGCTTCTCCCACATTACACACAGTCCATATTATTCCACCACTTTGGTATTCTGTGTTTATCCCCCTGTAATTTGATATAAATTGGCCCTCATACCATCATGGCCACCTTATCATCCTCAGTTTCCAAATTGGTTCATTCATCCCCCCCTCTCTTCCCCAGGTTGTTTCTGTAAAATATATGTTCTCAGTTACCCTAATTTTACCAGATAAGTTATGAAATCACTGATTTCTTTGTTCTGTTCCATTCAGATTGCTGATTTGTACAGGAAGCAGCAGGTTGTTCAAAACCAGGGAGACAAAGCTGACCTTGAGGACTACTACTGACTTCATCAATGGACCATCCAGTCGCCAATGACTCGGGTGAAATCTCAATTTGTACATTCGTTTTTTTTAAATGGTGAACAAGGCACTGTCGACGCAAAAAAGAAATACCCTCTGTATAGCAGTGTGTCTAGATCCAGGTACTGGTTTAGGCTCTGCCAATGTCATGATATTCAACAGTTTTGTTGGTGTTGAGCCTAAGGCTTGTTTTTGTAAACGTATACTTAACAGTATGAATAAAGGATGTGTTCCAGAGTTTTCAATTACACAATCACAGTAATGACAATGTGAATAAAGGCTTTGCCAATTTTATAATATCAAACATAATGGGTGTTGATTTTAACCTGTTGAGCCTAAGCTTCATTTTATCAATTGATAGTGTTGGTTTCCCGAACACAGATTAAGCCTAGTCCTGGACTAAAAACCACTCTCATGCTTTTTAGTCCAGTTCTAAATTGAATCTGTGTCCAGGAAACCGTCCGATACACTATAAAGAACACCAAGACATTGAAGACTTGCATCTTTGAGATTCAGTTGTAATGCATATCTCAGTAACACTACCTGAAACCTGCAGGTATGCTTTATAACTTGTTCTAAGCATGTATGAGACTTTGTTTTAAGGTTTATCATTCATGCAGTGAGTGAAATGGAGATCCCTTTGTTGGTGTCCTATGAGCCAGCTGGTGCAATAATGATGAAGAGTTGAATAACACTTGCATAATCCTAGCAGTACACAGAGACTTGAATACAGTCAAGAAGTAAACAAAAAGCTTTAACTGCCCCCTATGCACCTCTCATTCCTACAGCTTCAGTTCAGTATGGGGTGCGTCCCAAACGGCAGCCTATTTCCTTCATAGTGCACTACTTTTGACCAGGGCCCATATGGGCATGGTCAACTCTTAACATTGCTGCTCACATTGATTGTGCCCTTGGAACTGAAGAGGTTATTTTTATTCTACCCAATAGGCCTTACAAAAATATCACGACTCTAGGTTACAAATATTGACAGTACACTACACTGTAACAATGTGTAACAGTACACTGTGACATCTCAACAGTTCACCAGCGAGTCAAATTAACGCTCCCACACAAAACAAGTTTCCCTGTAGAAACGTTGCAAAACACTGCATGCGATTTCCTTAAGACATGTTTTTATGCAGAATATTGGTGTAACACAATTTCTAAATGTACTGTGTATATGCAGAAGAACAAGGACGAGCGCCTGGTATATTATAAAATGCAAACGTGTTGACAGCTCAAGTAGCAGTACAAAACGCATTTCCCAGCCTGCATTAGACGATGAAAATCCAAAAGTCAGTAGAAGGAATCGGGGAATCAATCCACTACAAGAAGACTCAGGTCAGAGAAGACAGTCAATGACACATGGTCATTATAGGAAGGAAAACGGATTGTAGAGTTCTGTGAAGCTAGTGAGATGCCATACATGGTGGTTGTGTTTGTATGTGTCTGAAATGCCACCCTACTCCCTATATAGTGCACTACTTTTGACCAGAGCCCATCTGGTCATAAGTAGTGCACCATGTAGGGAATAGGGTGGCATTTGGGACACCCACCCAGAGAGTGTTGTGGCGTGCATGTGGAAGTGAGTGGGCTGTGATGTGACCTGTGCTGGAGCTTCAGTGTCTGCTTCTGCAAGGGAGGAGGGGGAGGAGAAGGGCTCCATTGTGCCAGCCTGGGATTGGGAAATTTAGATTTTCTTGCCCTTTCCCATCTGGTTATGTCTTTGTGTTTTCTCTCTCTGCCTCTACTCATCTCCACAACTTTCCCTTTTTCTCTCCTCTTTCTTTCTCTCCTCTTTCTTTCTCTGCATGTCTCACCATGTGGCTTTCCTTTCCTAGCTAGCTCTATCACGAAGAAATGGCAGAAGCAAGGAAGAAGCAGCTAATGTTTGCACGGTAGAATATTAGTTATTTATACACGTCTCTGCCCCTGTTGTATGTCGCTTCTGGTAATTACAAAAGAATACCTGAAACTAGGAAGATGAAATAGCTAACGTTTGCACAGTAGAATATGAGCTGTAGACTTCTCTGCTCCTGTGTTGTTTCAAGGCAGCAGCAGTGTGTTGTTGTGGTGTTGCAGATCGAGGGGAGGAGAGGGAGCTGGTGTTTAGTGTTTACCGAGGGGCAGCTGGCTCAGATCATGTGCCTGCAGGGCAGAGTAGCGCTCTGCTGTGGCCTCAATCTCTACAGAGGCCTGGGTGGATGTCTCAAATGGCACCCTATTCCCTTTTATAGTGCCCTACCTTTCAAAAGTATTTAGCTACATAGGGAATAGGGTGCCATTTGGGACGCTGCCCTGGTTTCCACTTATAGCATCTGCCTGATGTTGGTTCAGATTAACTAGCCTGCTCCACTGAGTCCCCCGCACCTAGGAACTGCTGAACCGAACCCAGCATGTGTCCCAAATGACACCCTATTCCCTTTATGGTGCACTACTTTTGACCAACAAAGCTTAAAAGTAGTGCACTATATAGGGAATAGGGTGTCGTTTGGGAATCATCCTGCCTCTCACCGCTGTTTATTATGGTCTGTTGATACACATGATGGAGTAGCTACATGCCTACATCCCTGACGTAAAGGAAAAGCAACTGACACATCAAATCGCATCACTGCTCAGTTCTGCTCACAGGCATAAAATTAAATGGAAATGTTGTTTCAGTAGCTTGTATTCCCCATGGTTCAGAGAAAGAAATAGCGGTAAGGCCGGGTAGTAATATATCGGCTGAGATATCGGCTGAAATGCAGAACCTCCTGAACACTGTTATGGATTACCCCAAATGGTTTAGTTTTTTTTGGTGCTTGACAAATAACGGTTTTCACCTCTCTGTCCTTTTGTCTCCTCCCTTTCTCCCACCCAGCTATCTGTCTTGCACACAATACCCCTTTTCTCAACCTTGAATAATGTGTTTGTTCTCCTCCATCGCGCCCTCTCTTTTCATCCCTGTCTACCCCTCCATCCCTTGTTTGGTGCTCTCTGTGACATCTCGGCCATGCAAGGACACGAGGGAGAGAGGGAGGGACAGGACCGGCCATTGTCCTCAACTGAACCCACGGAATATCAATTGTGTTTTTCTTGAGCCACAGGACCACCGAGCGTTGGCCAGTAACCTTTGGATAATGGATTTGATGATGTCAGGCCAGTTTTATCACCCTGGCTAAGTAGCAAATGGCACCCTATTCCCAACATAGTGCAGTACTTTTGACTGGAGCCCTACGGCTCTCAAAACACTCCCCAGATCCCTCCAACCCGGCAAGTGCACTATATAGCGAATAGATTGCCATTTGGGATGAGCACAGCCCCTGACATGTTTCACTGGCACTTTTTCTGTAATTATACCAAGACCATATTAAGCCACTTCCTATTCATATTGTACACTTATTCAAATAATTGGGCTTTAAGCCTGACTTGCAGTCTCTTGTCTGGGGGACATTCTGGAGTTACCTACTGTTTGTTTGTCTTGGCTGGTTGTGGCCTCCCCCTTTAGCTGCAGTTTTGGAGCAGAATCTGGGCCTCTTCATAAAGCGTCTCAGAATAGGAGTAAGGATCTACTATCAGGTCCACCCTGTCCATCTAAAAGGCTAAACTGATCCTAGATCAGCACTCCTACTCTGAGACGTTTTGTTAATATGGGCCCTGGGTGTTTATGGCGTTTGTGTTGTGATTGGTCTACAGCAGTGGTTGTTTTCCGCAGTGCTGGTTGGCTTAGGCCCACACTGCTGCTCCTCTCTTCTCCCTAAGGGACTGTCTGCTCTGCTGTGCTCCATTGGATCACTTCTCTGGCCATTAGCTTCATGACCTAATGAGTGCTGTGTCTCTCTGGCCTCTGTCTCCCCCTCTGTCCTCATGGCCAGAGAGTATTGTCTACGTCCCAAGTGGAACCCTATTCCCTATGTAGTGCACTACCACCGACCAGGGCCCTGGTCAAAAGTAGTACACTGCATTGGTAATAGGATGTCATTTGAGGCTCAGCCTCCCGCCCGCCACCACCCACCAGCCCCCTCAAGACGCTCCCCAGATCCCTCCACCCCGGCCAGTCCAAGACATTCCACTGGTGCTCATCTGCCAACATGCCTGGTAATTATCCTTCTGTCTGGCTCTGTTACACACAGACACCGTAGATGGCGGGCCTATTGAGCTGATTTTATTCACACAGCGGTAGAACCCAGGAGGGTACTGCTCCCACAATCCACTCTTCTCTTCTATCTGGGCTGAGGCCTAAAAATGGGTCCCAAATGGCACACTAGGACCCTGGTCAAATAAACAATAGGGTGCCATTTGTGATGCAGACTAAGAGTTAGCCCTACCTCTTCTCTCTTGTGTTATTTAGCGGTTGATGGTCTCTCTTTACCACAAGTGGTTTTATAACTGCCAGCTGAGAGGGGCTTTTCTCTCTCAATACAGCAGTTGTTTGCCAAGGCAATCTCTGTCCTGCCACTGCTGAAGACTTTGGAAGTTTGCCACGCGCTCCCTCCACCTGCCAGGTTTATAAAATATATCCTGTTTCCTTTGCCTTATGGCAAGCCTTAATCATTTAGGAGATACACAGAGATAGTGTCTGCCAACAACAGTTTGGCAGATGGTCTATCGTAGTTAAATTGATCCGTCAGCATGGTGTTCGGGTTTTTAAGCTTAGCCTACAAAGAGTAGCCTTGTAATGTGTAACTGAGTTTAGACTGCTTGCTGCCGATCTTCTACAGAAGCTGCGTCCCAAATGGAACCCTATTCCATATATAGGGCACTGCTTTTGACCAGAGCCTTCTATCTGCTGGTCCACTAGGTCGCTCTCCTCTCCCTATGGGCCCTGGTCAAAAGTATTGCACTATATAGGGAATAGAGTTCAATTTGGGACGCAACCCTGGTCTGATGGAAAGACCAAATGTTCTGATATGGAGAGGAGAGCTAGTGGCCCAGCGGATAACAGGAGTGTAACATTAAGCAATAATCTCAGCATAGATTCAATCGACCCACCATAGATAAACAAATGCATATTTTTGTCATATGACAGGTTGATGGATTGTGGGTCCTCCTGGAGTGGAAGGCTTGATCTCATACGTAGAAACCCCTTCTCTGGTGTTCTGTCTCGCCCTCTCTCCCTTTCTGTCTCTCCCGCTCCCTCTATTGCCGTTTGCGCTCATGTCTGTGTCTTAATGTCCTCATGTCAACCTATCTGTGTGTGTGTGTGAGTGTGTATGTATGTGTGTGTGTGTGTGTGTGTGTATATATATATATATATATATATATATATATATATATATATATATGTGTGTGTGTGTATATGTATGTCTGATTTTTAAGTAATTCATTTGCATTTTATTGCATGACATAAGCATTTGATACATCAGAAAAGCAGAACTTAATATTTGGTACAGAAACCTTTGTTTGCAATTACAGAGATCAAACGTTTCCTGTAGGTCTTGACCAGGTTTGCACACACTGCAGCAGGGATTTTGGCCCACTCCTCCATACAGACCTTCTCCAGATCCTTCAGGTTTCGGGGCTGTCGCTGGGCAATACGGACTTTCAGCTCCCTCCAAAGATTTTCTATTGGGTTCAGGTCTGGAGACTGGCTAGGCCACTCCACGACCTTGAGATGCTTCTTACGGAGCCACTCCTTAGTTGCCCTGGCTGTGTGTTTCGGGTCGTTGTCATGTTGGAAGACCCAGCCACGACCCATCTTCAATGCTTTTACTGAGGGAAGGAGGTTGTTGGCCAAGATCTCGCGATACATGGCGCCATCCATCCTCCCCTCAATACGGTGCAGTCATCCTGTCCCCTTTGCAGAAAAGCATCCCCAAAGAATGATGTTTCCACCTCCATGCTTCACGGTTGGGATGGTGTTCTTGGGGTTGTACTCATCCTCCTTCTTCCTCCAAACACGGCGAGTGGAGTTTAGACCAAAAAGCTCTATTTTTGTATTATCAGACCACATGACCTTCTCCCATTCCTCCTCTGGATCATCCAGATGGTCATTGGCAAACTTCAGACGGGCCTGGACATGCGCTAGCTTGAGCAGGTGGACCTTGTGTGCGCTGCAGGATTTTAATCCATGACGGCGTAGTGTGTTTCTAATGGTTTTCTTTGAGACTGTGGTCCCAACTCTCTTCAGGTAATTGACCAGGTCCTGCCGTGTAGTTCTGGGCTGATCCCTCACCTTCCTCATGATCATTGATGCCCCACGAGGTGAGATCTTGCATGGAGCCCCAGACCGAGGGTGATTGACTGTCGTCTTGAACTTCTTCCATTTTCTAATAATTGCGCCAACAGTTGTTGCCTTCTCACCAAGCTGCTTGCCTATTGTCCTGTAGCCCATCCCAGCCTTGTGCAGGTCTACAATGTTATCCCTGATGTCCTTACACAGCTCTCTGGTCTTGGCCATTGTGGAGAGGTTGGAGTCTGTTTGAGTGTGTGGACAGGTGTCTTTTATACAGGTAACGAGTTCAAACAGGTGCAGTTAATACAGGTAATGAGTGGAGAACAGGAGGGCTTCTTAAAGAAAAACTAACAGGTCTGTGAGAGCCTGAATTCTTACAGGTTGGTAGGTGATCAAATACTTATGTCATGCAATAAAATGCAAATTAATTACTTAAAAATCATACAATGTAATTTTCTGGATTTTTTTTTAGATTCCGTCTCTCACAGTTGAAGTGTACCTATGATAAAAATTACAGACCTCTACATGCTTTGTAAGTAGGAAAACCTGCAAAATCGGCAGTGTATCAAATACTTGTTCTCCCCACTGTATATATATGTATATGTATGTGTATGTATGTGTAGCTGGTCTCTCCCCACTCTCTCTCTCTGTGTCGGTTTTACAGGAATAAGCCAAGTAGGCACTCGGCAGAGGGAGGTGGGAGGAGAATACAGAGCTTTGTCTGGATGGAGAGAGAGAGAGAGAGAGAGAGAGAGAGAGAGGGAGGAGGTTGGAGAGGAAGAAAGCACCATTGACAGACAGAGACACGCCAGTCACCCCCTGTGCCCCTGTCCCTCTCTCCCTCCATTGTTTGACTGCTAGACGTCAGCAAACAGGCAGGAATCCGGAGAGAGGGAGGAGAGAGAAAGGGAGAGAGGGAAGACTTGGGCCTTTGTTTTCCATCCTTCTCCATCCCGGTGAAAGTGCAGGGAAAGGAGAGACGGGGATGACGGGAGGAGAGGACAAGACAGGACCCCCCCCCCCCCCCCCCCCCCCCCACACACACACACACACACACACACACACACACACACGTTTCCATCCATGTGTATTCACACATCACATCTTAGACATCACATCAGCCCTTTAGAAATACAGTCTGTATAATGTGCATACATCCTATGCTATCACACACAAGTCATGAACATTTTGGTCATTCAGCAAGTCTGTGCATTCAACTAAGGTAGGTAAGACAACCACATATCAGTCATTGCAAGGAAAAAACGTTCCACAATGAAGCAGCTATCAGCAAAATCAGTGCTAGTAAGAAAATAAAGTAATGATATTCAGGAATATACAAGATGGTGTCATCTACTAGTGCAGATTTGTGTAAATTTGACTCAAGCTTTGACTGCTACTTCAGTGAATTTGGTCAGTGTCTTTATACAGTATGTTGCTTTTCACTGCATCTTAATATCACTCTTGAATGTAAAAGTTGTTTATTTTGGTCTTCAAAGGGGTTGATTGTTTGATTTGTTTCAATGAGATTGGAGAGAAAGAAAGAGGTGGAGAGAGGGAGGAATGGGCCGGGCCGTGGAGAGCGAGGGGTGTGGTTGGTTATAAACCCTGGGACACTGTTGTCCTGTTGTGAAGCCCTCTGTCCTGGAACCCTGCACCCCTCTGTCCTTCTAACTCGCCATCACTTCATAGTGGGACTCTTCTGCAGCATCCAGTGAGGTCTGCAACATCACTTGAGGAACCCAAAGAGTCAGGAACCATGCTGACCATTTTGGCGCTAGCATCGGTCGTACTCCTGGGAATAGGTAAAAAGTATTTAATTTTTCTTAATATATCCCTAACCTTAGTCCTAACCCTAAGTACCATGGTTCATTACAATACTTGCTACACTGTAATTATAGTAATAACCACACAGTAATAAGTCCGCTGTAATGTAAATTGTAACCGCATATAATTGTTTTGATTTATGGTTAAAAATATACTTCTAATATGTTAATTATATGATTAAACCTTCTGATCTGCTTTAAAGTTGCATGTGAAAAATGTTGCCTTATCTTTATCATCATCTTGAGTTAAAGGTTAAAGTTCACATAGTGTCGGTGATACAATTTGAATTAATAACATTTATGATGAATGATCTCGTATGCTTTCTTTCTTTTCTTTTCTTATAAAAAGCATTATATACATGCTTGGTATTTCATTCACAGCTGTACATTAAACTAATCCCGTGGGTCACTGAATCTTGTTCACTCTGGGTTCTGCGTTATTGGTGCATTACTTAATTAATTAATTAATTAATTAATTAAAGGGAGAGGAAGTAAAAGAACCTGGGCAGATGATTAGTCTTGTAATACGTTGTTATACGGATGTTATATTGTTGTGACTATTATTGTTATAACTACAGAAACATCTTGTTCTTCATCCGTGTTTCTCTTATACAGAGTTCATTCCGTAAGGCTCACAAAGTTAACATGAGGGCATCAATTTTGGGACTCACTCAGACAGTGTATTGACAGCATTTCTACACTTGAGCAGAGATCATCTTCTTTCCTTTCACGATTGTTGCAGCTTTGTCAAAATGTAATTAAAAACGTCAAGTCTTAATCCATTGACAAGTTCTATGTTGGCTGACATCATTTATTCAAGGACGCTGGAGTTTTGGTTTCTACATGTGAAAATGTGAAATGTGCATCTTTAGATATTTGAATGTGATTTGTGTGTGAGTCAGTATCTTGGGTCAAAATCTTGAATCAAACGGAATACCAAATACCCCAAAATACTAGTGATAATAATTGATGATAGCAATGTTTGTAGATGCCATTACATCATTGGTGGTGGTTGTTGTACTGCAGTACTAATTGCATTTACGATGGAAGTGATATATTGATTTTATGGCAAATATAGAATTTAACTTCATATTTCAAGGACATAACATAAGCTATTTATAATCTGTGGGTAGTTATGTTGTACTTTTTAGATATTATCAGCGCCAATCCTTGCTGCATGCCATCATTGCACATGTTCATAGCTCATTTGAACCTTGGATAAATAGTGGTTGTGTGTGTGGGAATGGATTTTGAAGTGTATTCAAAAGGGATCGAATGAAAGACTTAAGGCTTTGCAACTGAAAGACATTGAAATGAACTTGAACGTGTTGTCCTCTTGACTGTCTTTTCATAGTAAATTAAATGGTACATCGACAGAATAATAGTTTTGAAGGTTGTGTTTAATGATAGACTCCACAATAGTCTACTGGAACCATAGTCTGGAAGAAACCCTTGCAACTGAAAATGAAAACCCTTGTCTCTGTCTTACATCCCAGGGGCACATTTTTTAAGTGTGTAATGCATATGTTTCTTATTTAACCATGTGTGCCCAAGTACACTCTATCCTCTTGTCTGTTTTCATAGTACGTAAATCCTTTATATCCCCAGAATAGTTTTGAAACATGCAGTGATGATCTTTCGTGTTTATATATTTTTATTGAAACCACCATAAACATTTACAATGGTAGAAACGTACATATAGGCAATGATACAATGGTATTTTGGAGGTAACAAATGGTAATGGTTCAAACAAGGAAGTGTGAAGTAGGTAATGATGGACCACATGGGTGCTGATCTTTCCTATTTAACCCTGTGTATTAACCCCTGTAGTGCCCCAGCAGTCCGAGGCCATCGTCATCTACACGGGTTGGGAGCGGCACGCCCTGGTGGGTTCCGACATCCGTCTGTCCTGCTCCTTCTTCTCCTGGCGCTGGACCTCCGATGACGTCACCTTCTCTTGGAGCTACCGGGCCGACGGTGCCAGGGACGCCATCTCTGTACATATATACTCTCCTCTATCATTATCCTCCTCTAGCCTCCTCTATGGATGCGTCCCAAATGGCACCCTATTCCCTACATAGTGCATTTTTAAAAACATTTTAATCATTTAGAAGACGCTCTTATCCAGAGCGACTTACAGTTAGTGAGTGCATACATTTTTCATTGTTAGTGAGTGCATACATAGTGCATTGCTTTTAACCAGAGCCCTATGAGCCTGTTCCTTATATATAATGCACCCTATGGGTCCTGGTCAAAAGTAGTGCACTACATAGGGTATAGGGTGCCATTTGGGATGCTAACCTATCACTTCTTTTTCATTTCCTTCTCATTCCCCTCATCTCACCTGGTGCCAGCTCTCTCTCTTCTCGCTGTGCCTTGCCCTCCTTGGCCCCCAATCTCACCCTCCCATATCCCCCTTGTCCCTCTCTCCTACTTTCATTATCTCACTCTCCTTCTCTCCTCCGCCTTCATCCACCTCTTGCCTCTCTCCCTCTGAAACGATATCACCCCCTTCCTTCCTTCTCCCTCCTGTCCCTTTCTCTCTAACACAGTTGTTTATTTTAGCACATTTCATCTGTACCGTATCTAACAATTCATGTCATCTTTAGCCTAGATGTAGTCTGGTCTCAGATCTGTTTCTGCTCTCTTGTCAACAACATTTTGGCATGACAGTTCCATAAGGAGTTGGCAAGAGAGCAGAAACAGACTGGCATCCAGGCTAGCCTAGATATAAAAGCAGACAAGAAACTGAATCCCTTTTCCGGTCTTCCGTACTACAGATCTTCCATTACACCGGTGGAGCTCCCTACGTAGACAACAAGGGACCCTTCAGAGACAGGCTGGAGTTTGTGGGGAACCCTGGTCGCCGGGACGGATCCATCCTGCTCAAGAACCTAGACTTCGGAGACAACGGCACCTTCACCTGCGACGCCAAGAACCCACCTGACATAGTGGGACGCGCCTCCAGTGTCAGACTGCTGGTCTTTGAGAAGGGTGAGAGCATTGAATTACTAGCCTGGGTATCGGTCTGTTTGGGCCATCATGCCATTTTCCATGCCCCTCCTTGCCACTCCTTGTCATGCATGCGCTCCTTGTCATGCCAAGCATGTTTGGCATGACAAGGAGTGGCATGATGGCACAAACTGATCAGGGACCAGGCTATATAATTACATATAGAATCCCTAGAATGGCAAGTAGACTGTCCTTGTCTTGCTTTCTCTTTGTTTGTAGTTTTCCTCTTCATTCCTCTGCTTTTTCCTCCTGATCTTTCTCTCTCTCCCCCTCTTCTCCCCTCTTCCTCATTCTCTCTCTCTCTCCTCCCTTCCCTTCTCTCTCTCAGTTCCCATCCAGGCCGGAGTGATCACGGGGTCCATCATCGGTGCAGTGCTGGGTCTGCTGTTGCTCATCGTTGTCATTTATTATCTCATGAGGTTCCTGGTGGCCCGCAGAGTCTTCAACCTCAGTGTCAGGTCAGTGCCCCTGTGCCTGGGTCTGTGGCCAAAGCCTGAGCCCATCCCCGGCCTGGACACCTGTATGGTTTAGCTGGCACTAGGTGGCACAAAGTTTTTTTTTTTTGTTAGTAAATATATTGTTTAAGGTATTTTTCAGATTTTATTGAACTGATAGAGAGAGAGAGGATGACAGTGGGGAAAGTGGTTGTGTCAAACATGTGCCGGAGGCTGCGGCGTTACCGCTACACTACCCAGGCCACAGGTGGCACTAAGTTGACCACTAATCAAGTTTTACAGTCAGTCTATGATCATATAAATAGAACAGACTTGGAACCTCTGACCATGGCAATTTGACTGGTACTCATGGGGACACTCACTATGGCTAGCCTGGTACGGCAATGCATCATTTCCATGATAATTTAGTTCCATTCTACTTCTGTATCTATGACGTTGTCTCCTAACCTACCTGGAGAGTCAGTGCTGTTCGGTTATCTGTGATGAAATTAAAAAGCAGTAGTATACTGTAACAGAAGCAGTATATCGCTTTGGCCACTAGAGGGAGAGGTGTGACATCCACTTGACACTGTTCTCTTTTGTTTCCTCCAGCAAACATGGAAAGAAAGGGAAGGGTAAAGAGGGATCACAGCAGAGACAGGCAAGTCCTCTCGTCGTCGGCTCACTCACAACCACACAACGACAACAGCAGCTCACAACTACAGCACACAAGTACCGTACAACACAAGTCATGTAAGAGTACAACGCCTATATGACAGCTCATACCATAGCAACTTGGTTAGACACAGCCACTGAGCCACACTGCAGACCAGTATTGTTAGTAAGACTGCCACAGAGCAAAAACTATTCAATCCAGAATCAACATAAGAGGAATGCATTATTGCGCCACCAAAGCAAACACATTTAATAGTCCTCTCCTGCTATTAAACGAAACAGTCATCAGTGTTGGAACGCTTTAAAACCACAGCCAGTCGCCCAAAAGCTTAAGAGCTAAATTACCGCCCCTCCCCTCCTCAAGGGCTAAACAAACACAATACAATGGGTAAATAGTCGGGAAGTTTACCCATTTTTAACTGGCCTTATTTTCACTTTTCTGTGTTTGTACTTTATTCCCCATACAGTCTTTTTTAAATATTTTGTTTAATTACAGAGAAAATTGGTGTGAAAGGCCCCGTGTAGCTCAGCATGGCGGTTGCAACGCCAGGGTTGTGGGTTCGTTTCCCACGGGGGGCCAGTATGAAAAAAAAAATTATGCACTCACTAACTGTAAGTCGCTCTGGATAAGAGCGTCTGCTAAATGACTAAAATGTAAATGTAACATTTTTTTTAATGTTGCTGAGTCACCACTTGCTATATTGATTTATAATGCAATATGCAAATATGTCTAAACATATTATAAAACATTCTAAAACACTCCACACCAACTCATAATACATCAGAATCCCATTCTGAATAATGTCTCTGCGCAACATTTTTGAGAAAAATAAATCCATTGTGCCATAAATCCATGTTTGAATGATGCTGTTTACAACAACAAAAAGATGCAACTATGGATTTATGGGACAGTGATGTTTTTTTATTTTTTATTTTGGGGGGGGGGGGGGCGTAATTTAGTGCAGAGACAGCATTCAGAATGGAATGATTTGGACACATTTTCACAATGCATTGTAGTCAATGGCAAGTGATCTCAGCAAAATGTGTCTACTAATTTTCTCTGTAACGAAACAAAATATTAAACAGTTTGGGGAATCAACTACAAGAAACAGAAAGAGTGAAAAGGCCACATGTAAAAATGGGTGAACTTCCCCTAACACCAGCCACACTTGTGAAATGGCTGCAGCAAGGTCGTGTTGTACAGTAATTCAATTCCCTGTGAATGGAACTGAGTTGCTCTCAGTGGGAGAGAAAGTAGAGAAAGAGGGAGACCTACTGATTCTACTTCCTGTGAGTCAAATGAAAATCACTGGCCCTATTATTGGCTCACAGATATCCCAAATTACACTGAGTCACACAGTCACACTGGGGATAAGTGCAAGGCAAGGGGGTGGATGCATCCCAAATGGCACCCTATTCCCTATATAGTGTGTTACATTTGACTAGTGTAGTGCACTATATGGAATTGGGTGCCATTTGGGATGCGGCCTTAGTATTTGATTAATATAACACTCATTCTTTCTTGTATGCTTTTGGTATTACCGGTGGTTCCTCCCAGGGCAAATTAAGTTAAATTATTTTCTAAATTGCGAGAGAGATATTCCATGTCAAATAGAATGATGATGTATGCTGGTAAATGACATCCTAAGGTATTGATCAATTCACTAAGACATCTTAATGGAAGTAGCCAAGGGTCTAGGATTGCTAAATCCTGGTAACTTTCCCAAGTTTTCCAGAACCAGGATTTCTGGAAAACCTGAACATTTTGGGAAAGTTTACGGAATTTTGCAACACTACAAGGGACAGTTTGGTGTGTAGTTTGTTCACTCACAGTATTGTTCAGGAATCAATCAGGTATGCAGCTACTGTATCACTGGGTCAGTGGCGTGTGGCTGGGGGTCTGTACAGTGTCAGAGGTCAGGGATTAGAGTCAGGGTTTACTACAGCATTAGAGTGCACTCTCATTCTCCTCTCCCCACAGCTCTCACTGACTGTGTCCAAAATGGAACACTATTCCCTATATAGTCCACTACTACTTTTTACCAGAGCCCTGGTCAAAAGTAGTGTAATGTCTGCATCCCAAATGGCAAGGGTCCTGGTCAAAGGTAGTGCACTATATAGGGTGCTATTTGGGATTCACACGTTGTCACATGACTGATTGTCAGGTTGCATTTGAGTTGCAGTCAGTTGCACAAATTGCATGGAGCTTGGGTGCATAAATTAATAATATAGCTCACAGTCAAAAGGACTGTTGCTGAAATTCTGACGGAGTTGCCATATACACATATTCACCATGAGCAATTAATTTCATGGTGCGAAAAAAAAATAATCAAAACAGCCTTCTCCTCATTATGGCTCCTCTCTTTTAAACTATACAGTGTGTAAACGTGTTTACAGGGTTTTCATATATAGGGTTGACTTACATTTGTAAGATGTGCTGTTTTATCAAACAGGCCTTATCTTCTTCCCAAATTGCACCCTATTCCCTACATAGTGCACTACTTATGACCAGAGCCTTATGGGCCCTGGTCAAAAGTAGTCCTAAGGAATAGGGTGCCATTTGGGACATAAACAGGGTTTTCATATATAGGGTTTACTTGCACTTGTAAAACATGCCGTTTGATCGAACAGGCCTTATTTAGTGCTACGCTGACTCCACACAATCTGTATCAGCCACTGTATCTGGGTTATTTTTATTTGCTGGGCTTGCACAACAAAGCTGCGAGAATCTCATTGCATGCATCCCAAATGGCACCCTATTCCCTATGGGCTCTGGTCAAAAGTAGTGCACTATATAGGGAATAGGGTGCAATTTAGAATGAAACCACCATCGTGTGGCATCTTCGTTCACCATTACTCCATTAGGGGAGGGAGGCAGAGTGGGAGAGAGAGTATTGGTAGCTGACTGGAGCCTGAAGCAGCACACAGCACACAACAGGCTGTACTGGAATGATAATAGAGTGCACTCAATATTGATCCCAGCTAACAAACCATCCCCACCCATTCTCTCCATTCCTCCCTCTCACTCACTCACTAGCTCACTCACATTCCCTTCATCTAGTCCCGGTCTCCCCCTTTCTTTTCAGTCTCATCCTCTTTCTTGTCCTCCCTCCTTCTTCTCTTGTCTGTCTATCCTTCCTCTTCTCCATCCGGGTGGCCGTGAGAAGCCCCTCTTTCTTTCTTTCTTCCTTTCTTTCTGTCTTTTCTTGTTCTGTCTCTCTCTCCACAGGTGAACAGCCAGTTGTTAGTTTTTGGATCTGTTTCTGTTTAACTGATCCATCCTCTAATCAATCTCTACCTCTACCGGTCTCTATCTCTATTTAGTAAGGAACTTAGCTTAGCTCCTAACCCCCTTTTCTGTCTGCGTCCCAAATGGCAACCTATTCCCTATGAAGTACACTACTTTTGACTAAGTAGTGCACTATATAGGGAATAGGGTGCCATTTTGGACGTAACATCTGTCCATAGGCACTGTAGCTAGAGCCATGTACTTGACCGTTTACCCTTTCCATAGCAGCCCAGTGCCTCTTTATGTTAGCACTTGCTTTTCAGTGAAGTAATTACATTAGATTGCTCTGACCTTTCCTTTTCACTAACTCAGAGGCCACTTTCCTCTTGCAGGTGGCCTCTCTACTGAGCCCTTTACCTTCCCAGTCCACTCCCTTGCTCCCACGTCCTTAGCTCCAGTAAGATGAGGGTTTGCAGAAAGATGTTATTGGTTGTAATTGTCATGGTCCATTCGGTAGATGAATGTGTTTGAGTGAACTGATGGCAATGCATGTGTGAACTGATGCATCTGTGATTGGTGCATGTCTGGGTGTTGATTGGTAAAAGTGACTCAAAGCTGCATTTTAAGAGGGCCTGCTATGTTGGAAATAGATGTGTAGCAGTCCTGTGTCAGATGTTAGATCTGACTGTAGTAGTCCTGTCACTCTGTCCCTAACTCATCAATGCCTGTTTTGTCACCCCTTGCAGCCCTGGAGACCGCCACCCGTCACTTGCCTCCCCCTTACCTCCTAAATATGACTCTTTCTCTCTTTTTCTCCTAAATGTACCTCTCTCTCTCTGCTCTAATGTAAATACCTCCCTCCCTCCTTCAATCCTAATCCATCTATTGCATCATTGTTAACATGCCCATCGATCTCCCCCATCTCCCCCGTGCTAACACTACTTCTCTCCCCCTCCCTCTCCCCTTCTCTCCTTTCTCACCCTCCTCCTTTCCTCCTGAAGTGACTCCTCTCCTCCCCTGTTCCCTCCTCCTCTCCACAGGGCCCAACTCTCTCCATCGGAGACCCGTCCAAGCTGAAGGCCGCCGCCTCAGAAAAGAAGAAGCAGGAGTCGCGCAAGGATAAGAAATAGGATACGGGGAGCAGAGAGCTAGAGTCCCAACACACAGCCCTGCCCAAAGTATTGAGACAGCCAGAGAGAGCAGGAACAGGGGGAGGGGACTCACCCAAGGGGGAAGGGCCTGGGAGGGTGCTGATGACCATCGAGCTGGAGCTCTCTAAGTGGGAAAAAGAGGGGGAGGGGAAAGGGGGTGGGTCCGCCTCGGCCAAATCAACCAGTTTCCTATCCCTGTCCCAGCTCTCCAAAAAACTGACCCTGAAATAAGTGAATGAGGATCATACTGGAGAGGGAGGCAGCGGAGGACCTTAAAGAGGCAGTCTCAAAGAACTGTAAGGCTGTGTCCCAAATAGCACCATATTCCCTACATAGTGCACTACTTTTGACCAGAGCCCTATGGGCCCTGGTCAAAAGTAGTGCAGTGCACTGAATAGGGAATAGGGTGCTATTTCGGAGGCAGCCTTAGTCTGTCTATAACAGTATATTCTTTCCCACAAGATCTAAGCCTTTACAACTCCAAAGTATATTCATCATGATCTCAATGCCACACTGGGGTGAACATTGACACAATAGTGATTAAAAAAAAATGATAACTCAATCAATGGAAGTAAAGCACTCCAATTACTACTGTCAGGTCATGAAACATGCCATTTGAACCAAATCAAATGGCATCTGACTGCTGGTTTGATGACAAAATCTTAAAAGCTATTCACAAGTTTGCCCGTTCATTCTGACATCTTAGATGTGATGCAAGGCAGTATTTCTCTACTACGCCTGTCCGACACACATCAGAGAGTCCTGGCTACAGGGACCACCCAATGTGTTATAAAAACGTTTAATGCTAACTCTTTCTAATCCTCTCTTTCCTATCTCTCTCATAGATTTTCTGAATCTTATTTCTCAAAGACTTGACTTCCTCCCACTCGACTGCTTCAGCTTCCATAAGCCACACCCCTTTAGACCACACCCCTTTCCTTCTGCCCCACCTCTTGATGCACTTCTCCTATCTCATTATCTCATTAAGTCCTGCCTATAAAAGAGTAGTCCTACCAAGTTCAGTGTTTTGTATGATGAGGCAGAACATACTCATAACCCCTTCAGCTAGCATCAAGCAGAGCAGACCCAGCATAGACATGCAGTGTAACATACGGATCCACCAGGCTAATGTATAGAGCATAGATAGTTCCTGAAACTTCTGTTAATGCTTCCTGCTTCTGGTTGCTGGTCAGTGCTCAATCAGATCAAATGTGAGTGGTGTGAAGAGTTTGAGTGCACCCTGCACTGGACGAATCATAGTGAGTGAGAGAAATATGATTCCTAGCTCTTAGTTTGTGTAGATGGGTTCAAATCGAAGTTCATATCGCCGGGTAATTCATTCCCTTCACATTTCAGCTAATGGAGACCGCTGTGCTGTGCTGCCTTTCTGTCATTGCATTTCTGTCACTGCAAGCTGGAGGTTAGGTTATTCCTGTCTATAAGGGTGTAGTAGATACAGGCTTACTGTAACAGCTGCAATTTAAAGCAGAGTAGGAAAATACTTGTTTGTTTGTGTCTGAGAGTACATCCCAAATGGCCCACTATTTCCTATATAGTGCACTACTTTTCACCAGGGCCCATAGGGCTATGGTCAAAAGTAGTGCACTATTTAGGGTATAGGGTGCCATTTTGGACGCAGACTGCTTTGACTTCTGTGACTGAGTCCTTGAAATGACGTCACGTTGACAGCCAGTGGACATTCTCAGGCCCTGACAACAAAGGGATACTCCTCCTTTCTACTCCTCCGTGTTATTTTGGTCCCGTTAATCCCTTCTGCACATTTCTCCCCCCTATTTTAGCACTTGCTGGTAACTGGATCTCTCTCTCTCTCGATCTCTCTCTCACGCACACACACTGTCTTTCTCTCCCTCCAGCCCCCTCTCTCTCATTCTCTCTCTCTCTCTCTCTCTCTCTCTCTGTGTCCTTTAGTGACGCTAAGCTATGTTCCCTCATAGACTACCCAATCCACTCTATACTTAAGCCTCTTCTATCTAGCTCTATCAGACAAAGCCAGACCCCATCTCAAACAAACTCAGCAATTCTTTATTTCTTTTCTTTCCTCCTCCTCCTCCTCCCTCTTTTTCAAACTCAGTGATGGACACATCTCTCCTCCACCCCCCTGATCACCAACGTCCCTCTCACTCACCCACCAAAGCCACCACACCCCTGCACGTTCGTTCACCCACCTTTTCTGCTGGTTGGAATGCCACGTCGCTCTCTTCTGCCCCCTATTGGCCAGGGATGGAAACTGGGCAGAATCATCCATGTTAATAGTTCTCATTGAAGACTTTAATCTAGCTATAGCTCTCTGCCGGTTGCAAAGGTGCGTGTTTTGTGTGTGTCTGTGTGTCTAGTCAGACTGTTATGTCAAACAAAAGATGATAAACACTGTACATGTATGTCACTCTAAAGTAAAGCAAATAATTAGACATTTTACTGAAGAAGTGCACAAAAACACATGGGAGGCAGATATGTGATAGTATCTTCTTATGACATTTTATCACATAGATGCCCTTGTATATGGAGGGGGATCTGTGTGGCTGTTTCTTTTGGTGCATATTTTCCAGGGGCGGAAAATAAATATTTTTTCATTTAAGTTGCGAGCTGCATGGGGCTACAGGAGGCACTCGCACAGTGAGGGAGATGATGATGAGGAGGATAAGGGAGGTTAACTCCAGATGTTGCTGGTGGTAATGTGATTGGAAAAAATAACAGGTTGTTGCTGGGATGAAGATACTTTGGAGAGAGAGAGACTTGACTTGTGTGTTAAGCCAAGCCAAAGTCTATATGTATCGCTAAAGATATGGCTCATATCTCCCTAAAGCTCTCTCTTTCAAGGTCCTTACCCTGAGCTTCTGATCTGAATGCTTGACAGGCTATGCGAGGTGGTTAGTGTAGTGTTTAGTGTTGAATGTGTTTTTGTTCTTTTAACTGTGGTCATATGGAGTGTGTTAAAACCACACCATGGTTAACTAAGCCAATAGAAAATAGATAGTTCTGTTCACCCCATCGCTGTTTAACCAACTATCCATCATCAGATGTGATCAGTTTGAATGTTTCTTTCATTCCTTTCTCAGTACAGCCACATGGACTCCTGACATAAAACAAACTGCTTTAAAATGTCTTTACAATGTTTTCTTGTCTGCATTGTGTACTGGATGTATTATGTTGGTTGTTAGATAACATTCCTTTCTTTGACATTTCAAGCTCTTAAATTTTTACATTTGTTTTAATGCTTATACTTATACTAATCATACACATTTGATTGTTATGTAAAATGGGTTGTAAAGGGAAGGTAAATAAAAATTAAAGCATCAAACACATCTTGGTTGTAAAAGGAGAATAAAATAAATCCATATGAAAATGACTAGTGTTCTCCATGTCTGTTCGATTCAAATATATTTTGAAAAGTAATTGAAGTAATCTACTTCTTGATGAAAGTCATATTTTCTATGCTCAGTGCCCGGTTCATTAAGTCCTAAATGATCACTGTAAAATAGGGTTCTTCATTAATGGTACATGTGAGGTTAATATAGTTTGTTTCTTATTGTTTGCAGTGGTAGTAGAGGGGCTAGCCCTTAACAGTGCTCTTCGGGGTTGTTCCTCACAGAGGGGGCAGCAGGTGCAGGTACCACAACAGAGCCCCCTCTGTGTATCCAGGTGCTAGTGCTGGGGAGATTCAGGTTACCCTGACAGAGACAAGAGGGGCGGAGTGGGGGGTGGGTGTCAGTCCCAGTCACTAAAAAAGTAATCAGTGTCTTTTCCACGTGTTAGAGATCAGTCACCTGTCTGTCAGGACGAACGGTCTGCCCTTCACATTTCAAATTAGAGTTGAAACGCCGAAAGCATGGGGAAAGGGGTAAGTTCTCTTCACTTATTTATTCATGCATATAGAGGGGTATTTTTCTATCCTTCATAACAGGGTTGGGGTCAATTCCATTTCAATTCAGAAAGTAAACTGAAATTTAAATGTTTCTCTCACAGTGAAGCATTGAGGAGAATTTGAGTTTAAGTTTTCTTCCTGAATTGACTGAATTGAAAAGGAATTGACCTCAACTCTGCTTTATACACACATACACAGTCTGTCATATGAATATACTGTACCTATGGTTGAGTTGGGGTTAATTCCTGTAACTTCCAAAAAAGTTCGGGATTTCCTGCTTATTCCATTCCTGTATGATTACAGGAATCTTTCAACCAGGAAATGTAGAAAACCTGGGCATTTTGGGAAAATTAACAGAATTTTGCAACCCTAGACATGTCACATACAGCCACAGACATCATGGAAAATCTAAGCTGGTTTTCGAACAGTGTCTGCAGTGACGTCGGTGCCGGTTCTATATGCCGCAGTGTTGAGGCATTTTGTGACCACATTGGAAAGTAGGATTAGAGCATAGATAACTAATATCATCAATATCTTATCAAAAGCTCTATTCACACATATTACAGAATTCCAGTTGTATAACTTGTTCAATTCCAGCTGACTTTTGTTTTTAGCAGGTGTTGGCGATTATCTGTTATATCATACAGTAGCAATTTCCTCTAAATCGGGCACATTTCCTGCACTACACCAGCTCTCTACTCTCAAACTCTTTTCGACTGATTTTTCAATGTGTCACTCTCCCACACACTCATTCTTTCCCTCTCTCTGTCGCTCTTTCACTCGTTCACACGTTCTGCTGGGAAAGAAAGAGTGACAGCAGCAGATGATTTCCATGATGCTGCATTCTTCAACAGTGACTGTTCCAATCTGAACTACACACACACACACACACTAATGTGAACTCAGACTTTCCATCGCCATATTTGAACAAAGTAGCCAACACACAGAATAACGATATCCTACTGTTACAAGTGATACATTAGTGAAATGTTTATTTTTGATGAACATGAATATATAATATAAACATGGATATACTTCCCTAGGGATCCTATAATTCATTCTATTTATGATTTCTATAGCATGCTATATGTAATTATATGTATACTTCTCCCTCTGTATGTGGGAGGTTTGAGTTAAGGGTTTATGTTTGATGTGATAATCTCCTCATTCCTCAGAGTGGTGCCGAAAATGGAGGAGGAAAGAAGAGGAAGAAGGAGAGGGACTTGGATGAGCTCAAGAAGGAGGTGTCCATGGTAAGTGTAACTGGCGGTCTGGGGATGCGTCCCAGATAACACCCTATTACCTATGTAGTGCACAACTTTTGACCAGGACCCATAGGCCACTTGTCAATAATAGTGCGCCAAATTAGCCTGGGTACCAGGGGTGCCATTTGGGACGTAGTCAGGCTGTCACGTGTAAATAACTCAGTGCAGTACGTTTTTATATTGAATAATGACCTTCTGGTTGTGGTTTATTTGAGTTAGTCAGATCATTCTGTTCTTTCACAGGATGATCACAAGATATCATTAGACGATCTGGAAAGACGCTACACAGTCGACTTGGCTCGGGTAACACACACATGCACATACATACAGCTGCCTTCCCTTCTGCTCTGCCCAGTCACTTTAATCTCCCAGCCTTGATCTAATCTCTACTTAACTACTGCTTTCTGTCCATGCTACACACACATAAACTCCCCCCCAACTGTTACTTTGGTCCATGTTTGTCCAAGTTGAGTCCATAGGGTTCTCATCCCTGTCCCACATGGGAGCCCCACATGCTATCTCTATTACTGGTGTTCAATGGTATTACAGTGAATATCAGTGAAGTAATATAGGTCCCATATGGAGAGATGTCTATCTATCTCATCTTTAATCCTACTGACTTTCTCTCAGACAGAACTAAAATGTTGTTTTGCTGTCATATTGGGAATGGCCACCAGGGGGTGATGGACAAAATCTGCAATGGTACTATACTGGCACTATAATACTTCTTTTACATTTTAGTCATTTAGCAGACGCTCTTACCCAGAGCGATTTACAGGAGGAATTAGGGTTAAGTGCCTTGCTCAAGGACACGTCGACAGATTTTTCACCTAGTCGGCTCGGGGATTCGCTCTTAACCGCTAGGCTGTCTGCCGCCCTTCTTCAGACATGCCCTAGATGTGTGTGAAATGTGGTGCTTCTATCACAAAAGGCAGAATCCCATGCTTTAGCTGCCCCACTACACATGACAACCAAAATGGCCATAGAAACGGAAAACATGATTTTGTTGTTGTGACTGTCTCCGTAGTGATGGTCTGTTTGCTGGCTGACGGACAGTGATTGTATCAGTGACTGTGATACATGTTGTATGAAGTGTTGTATGTCTTGCAATGTATTATTTGTATGCCAGGAATGACTGTAATGTTGCCAAGCAAATTTCCCTACGGGACATTAAAATATTCATTCATTGTCTTCCAGGGTTTGACCAATGCCAAGGCTCTGGAGGTGCTGGCCAGGGATGGGCCCAACGTCCTTACACCCCCTCCCACCACGCCAGAGTGGGTGAAGTTCTGCCGTCAGCTGTTCGGGGGCTTCTCCTTGCTCCTCTGGATCGGTGCCATCCTCTGCTTCCTGGCCTACAGTATCCAAGTGGCCACTGAGGACGAGCCAGCCAATGACAATGTGAGAACCGCCTCAAGGCTAGGCTGTATAACATCTGTCGTGTTAACTACACAATGACCAACCTGGTCCCAGATCTGTGTGTGCTGATTTATTTTAATTTTATTAGGATCTCGTTTGACCCACCAAGGGTTAGTCTTCCAAGAGTTCTTAAGAAATGTAAAAAACATACAGAAATTCAGAAAAGCAAACACAGACACAGATCCACATTCCTATTAGCTTTACATATTACGAGTTACACCCGCCAAGCCTCTGCCCCCCACCCACCCACATACCTCATGTGCACATATTAATTTAAATTTAAATACAACATCACATACCATAATAACCTCTTAGACCCATTCTAGTTGTTCAATAATGTGCTTTGTGAATTATTCTTTTAAAATAACTATTTGACAAGTTTCTGGAACTTTCTGGCAAAGAGTTCCAGGATTTCACTGTCCTGAAACTAAAAGCAATTTTGCCCAGCTCTAAATTGGGAATTGGTGGTCAATACGTGGCCTTGGTTCTGCTCTGTGTGTTACGAGAGTGTTTGTCTATGACCATATCCAGTTTATCATATATAGTGGTTGGTCTTTCAGAGTGGTGAATTTTATTAAAAAGGGTTAGTTAGTATATTGTTTTCTATCATTTCCTTGACAGTCAGCCATTTGAGTGCAGTATGCAATTCTATGGAGGGCCTCTCGTAACCACATTGCAGAACCATTCTGGCTGCCTTGTTTTGCGCTATTTGCAGGCTCTTTAGGTAACCAACACATGCATTACCCCAGACGACAGAGCAGTAGTTAATTTGACTATGGATGAGAGCTTGTGAGAGTTGTTTTAGAATTTGCCCTGGCGTATATTTCGCAATCCTTCTGAGCATACGGGAATGCCAATGATTTTGTTGCAGAGGTGAAATGTGTGATAACCAAGAGAGAATGTCTGGCGGTACACCTAACAGCCTCTGAAACCTCTACAATGGTGTCCCGCCAAATGTCAGCTGGAAGGAGGGTTGTTTCTTACTTCTCTCCTTTGTACATATTAGCATTGCCTTGGTTTTCTTTGTTTTGTAGCACTTATTTATTTTGGGTTATCCCATTTGACATTGGTTAATAGCCTCTTTAAGCTGCCCTGCAGAATTGCCTGGTCCATAAACAGTTGTGTCTTCAGCAAACATGGTTGCATAGAGTTGCCCTGGCCTTAATTGGCAATGAGTGACAAGGTGTTGGCATGTTATAGCACAGACAGACTGCCACCCAGGCTATACAGTTACAGTCCAGTTATTAGCTAACACTGTCTATCATCATCATCATCATTGGCAACCTGGTTGCAAACATACTACATACAACCACAGATAAAACAATCATCATCATCATCAACATCACCTTCACACACAATTATGTTGATATACTGTATGCCATATACTGTAGTGCAACACCAATAACCTTCATCTAGTCATCTTGTTCTATCTCTCTCTCTCTCTCTCTCTCTCTCTCTCTCTCTCTCTCTCTCTCTACAGCCCTCTTCCTCTCTCTACCCCATCTCTCTCTTTCTCTACCTCCCTCTCTCTCCCTCTTTCTCTCCCTCCCTCTTTCTCTCTACCCCCTCTCTCTTTCTTTACCTCCCTCTCTCAATTCAATTCAATTTTTCAATTTAAGGGCTTTATTGGCATGGGAAACATATGTTAACATTGCCAAAGCAAGTGAAGTAGATAGTAAACAAAAGTGAAATAAATATTAACAGTAAACATTACACTCAGAAGTTCCAAAAGAATAAAGACATTTCAAATGTCATATTATGTCTATATACAGTGTTGTAACAATGTGCAAATAGTTAAAGTACATATGGGAAAATAAATAAACATAAATATGGGTTGTATTTACAATGGTGTTTGTTCTTCACTGGTTGCCCTTTTCTTGTGGCAACAGGTCACAAATCTTGCAGCTGTGACGGCACACTGTGGTTTTTCACCTAGTAGATAAGGGAGTTTATCCAAATTGTTGTCTTTGTGGATCACTGTAATCTGAAGGAAATATGTGTCTCTAATATGGTCATACATTTGGCAGGAGGTTAGGAAGTGCAGCTCAGTTTCCACCTCATTTTGTGGGCAGTGTGCACATAGCCTGTCTTCTCTTGAGAGCCAGGCAGTGGCGGCTCCTGAAAAAATTCTCAGGGGGGGCAATTTTTCTGATGATTTAGGTGACCTACACACATTTTAAAAAAGATATGTCCAGCAACAACATGAAGACAGGGGCAGCATATAAGTCAATGCCAGAAGCATTTATTGACTGATCTCAAAAGTGTTGGCTTACAAAAGCAAAATAAGTTATCACAGTAAAAATAATCAAGGGTGTTCTTTCACATTCCTCAACACTGCATAAACAATATGCATTTCCATAAACAAATGAAATATCAGCTGAAAATACAGCATCTTGGTATTTGTTCAGATTGCAGGATCAACAAGAGCTTTTACCACATTTTTTACCTCATGGTTGAATTGGAAATATGTGCACCTGAGCATAATTCACAACAAGCAAGCAGGAGCTTTTGATAGAGGCTACTGAAAACATTGATGCAAGTTATTGGTAATAAGAAATTTTTATAGACTTCCATATTCTGCCCTCTTGTATAGATTTGTGAAAATGAACAGTGATATACATTTTGCCTGAAAACAGAATTTGAAAATAATTTCTAGAAAAGGTAAACACAGCTATCTGTATGGCTTTGTAAAAATGAACAACCATATTCTGGCCAATTGTATAGATTTGTAAATATGAACAACCATATTCTGGCCAATTGTATAGATTTGTAAAAATGAACATGAACAGATTATTTTATTTTTTTTACTTTTTTTTTAATGAAAAATAACTATTTTAAACAACATCAACTGTGAACTGATTTGGGCGTGTGTGTGTTAAAGAGACAGACAGGGAGGGACAAAGAGAGAGAGAGGCTACATTACTTGTACTGAAACTGTTCTCTTCTCTCTTTCAATGCAGCAAAGCGGTCAATGACTTTCTCATTGAAATCAGGCATGCTGAGGACTAGTTCCCTCTCCATGGAAAGCATGGCCAGTGCATTCAGACGTTCCTGGCCCATTGAATTTCGCAGGAATGTCTTAACTCGTGTCAAAGTTGAGAAACATCTCTCAGCTTCAGCTGTTGTCATGGGAGTAGTTATGAGGATGTTCAACAGAGTCACAGTCTCAGAGAACGTCTCCTGGAGGTTGTAGCTCATGAGAACCTGGTACAGTGCCAGTGCACCACAGTTTGACTTTCTCGTCCTCGGCAAAAAGACCGTTCAGTCTCTCCAAAAGCACACTGGCGATTGAGACTGAGGTTGATTCCGAGATGGGAAGGAACTCAAAAAAGCGCTCCTGCACTTTTGTGGTTGCTATCTATGTACCTCAGCACAAGCATCAGCTGTCTCTGTGTAGAAACGTCCGTGGTCTCGTCAGCTTGGATAGCTACGAAGTTCGCCGACTTCACCTCCTCCACAATATGTTCCCTCATGACCGCTAGCATACACTCCAGTAGCTCGTTTTGAATGGTCTTTGATGTGAACTTCTTTTAAAGAGACAATCGAGTTGCACTGAACGCTAGCCATCTTTGATAGTAGTACGTGAATTGATTGACGCTGCTACCCGCTCTTTTCTTAGTTACGTTCATGGTTATGTTACGTATGACGAAAGCGCGTAAGTGCAAGCCCTCAGAAACCCATAGAGATAGTATTGAAAGCTCTGATATTTGAAAAAAATAGATTTAACATGAGAGTCTATGAGATACTTCTGGGGCGATTTTCAACCTGACTGAAATCGCCCAAAAACGGGCGGGGCCATTTGAAGCACGACTTTAGCCTGATTGGACATTTAGTGGCAGATCAGACGTCTAGATTAGAACACTGATAACTACTGTTGCCGTGATATAATTGATTAGAAAAAAAATCCCTTCCTTTTCCCGTTTGGCAGTGCGTCGCCCATATCGCCCTAATGAACACACCGCCCCTGGAGCCAGGTCTGCCTACAGCGGCCTTTCTCAATAGCAAGGCTATGCTCACTGAGTCTGTACATAGTCAAAGCTTTCCTTAAGTTTGGGTCAGTCACAGTGGTCAGGTATTCTGCCACTGTGTACTCTCTGTTTAGGGCCAAATAGCATTCTAGTTTGCTCTGTGTTTTTGTTTGTTCTTTCCAATGTGTCAAGTAATTCTCTTTTTGTTTTCTCATGATTTGGTTGGGTCTACTTGTGTTGTTGTTGTTGTTGTCCTGGGGCTCTGTGGGGTCTGTTTGTGTTTGAACAGAGCCCCAGGACCAGCTTACTTAGGGGACTCTTCTCCAAGTTCATCTCTCTGTAGGTGATGGCTTTGTTATGGAAGGTTTGGGAATCGCTTCCTTTTAAGTGGTTATAGAATTTAACGGCTCTTTTCTGGATTTTGATAATTAGCGGTTATTGGCCTAATTCTGCTCTACCTGCCTCTCCCTCCCTCTCTCTCTTTCCCTCCCTCCCTCCCTCCCTCTCCCATAACAGTTGTACCTGGGAGTGGTTCTGTCAGCTGTGGTCATCATCACTGGCTGTTTCTCTTACTACCAAGAGGCCAAGAGCTCAAAAATCATGGACTCCTTCAAGAACATGGTTCCTCAGGTGAGCTGAGCTGAGACAGCACAGTATACTGCTTTGTGAGCGTCCCAAATGGCACCCTATGAGATGGGCCCTATTCCCTTTATAGTGCACTTTTGACCAGGGTCCTATTCACTTTAAAGTGCACAACTTTTGACCAAGCCCAGGGCCCTGGTAAAGGTAATGCATTATATAGGGATTAGGGTGCCATTTGGGACACAAGCAATGGCTTGGTCATCGCAACAGTGTGTAAAGGCTATAATAGGCTTAAATCGCTTAGATATTCTTCGATTTCAAGTTATTTCATTTCCTTTGAGTGCCTCAAGTGGGTTTACACTGACTTGAGAAGCATAATAAGCTTACCCAACATAACACAACTAATAATTTGAGCCAACTTTGGATTTGCCAATGAATGTTTGTCTAAAATAGTTTCATCCTCCCCTTTGTCTCTCTCTCTTTCATCTCTCCTCTCTGTTATCCATCCCTCCATCCCTGGCAGCAAGCCCTGGTGATCAGGGAAGGAGAGAAGATGACAATCAATGCAGAGCTATTGGTGAGGGGAGACCTGGTGGAGATCAAAGGAGGAGACCGGATCCCTGCCGACCTCCGAGTTGTCTCCGCTGCGGGCTGCAAGGTGAGGAGAGGAGACGAGAGGGAGTCCAAGGGTCACTTTCTTACTATCTGTCCAGGTTGATTACTTAGTTGCTGTCTCTCTTTATCTCTCTCTCTCTCTGTCTCTGTCTTTCTATGTCTGTCTGTCTGTCTTTCTTTCTGTCCAACTGGATAACTTTCCTCTGTCTGTGTGTGAAGGTGGATAACTCCTCTCTGACTGGGGAGTCGGAGCCTCAGACACGTACCACAGAGTTCACCCATGAAAACCCCCTGGAGACTCGAAACATCGCCTTCTTCTCAACCAACTGTGTGGAGGGTCAGTAGCACAAATCCTTTCCTCTTTTTATTCATTTATTTTAATTTAACTTATTTATCGAGAGAGTCTCATTGAGGTCAGAAGACCTCTTTAGAAGGGGGACCTGACCTATTTCTTAAATTAAAGAATTGCTTCCCCTCCCTCCCTCCCCTCCCTCCCTCCCTCCCTCCCTCCCTCCCTCAGGCACAGCCCACGGTGTAGTAGTAGGTACCGGTGACCATACAGTGATGGGTCGTATTGCCACCCTGGCCTCTGGGCTGGAGACGGGCCAGACTCCCATCAACATGGAGATCGAGCACTTCATCCAGCTGATCACGGGCGTGGCTGTGTTCCTGGGGGTGTCCTTCTTCATCCTGGCCATCATCCTGGGGTACAGCTGGTTGGAGGCTGTCATCTTCCTCATCGGCATCATCGTGGCCAATGTCCCAGAGGGCCTGCTGGCCACCGTCACTGTGAGTAAGCCTTGAATGTCCCAGTCAGAATGGCCCATAGCCTAGGGCAGTAGCCTATCTCCTGTTTCTGTTAAGTGAGGCAGCTTGATGTGCTTGATGTTGAAGTACACCCCCTGGACAGGACGCAGGGACCGCCACTGTGAGTCCGACTACTATTGTAGTTGGTGAGTGAAAGAGCAGTGGGCCGGATTCAAACCCATGCTGGCAGTGGTACATTTATGTGTGCTAGAGGCAGCGACCTAGACCGTTAGACCACCCCAGGCCACGGACTGGTATTGTGGATATGGGCCAAATTATAATTCTAAATCTCCATGCAAATCTCTTGCTAAATCTCATAATTTACACCAAAGTCTATGAAAGTTGTGCTCTGTAGTAGGATTTTGCATCTATATGTCCATCTTTGACCATTACTCTGTCATTACTAAAGTTTCAAGTTCTATTGTCACGTGTGCAGAAATGCCTTTCTTGCAAGCTCTTTCACAACAATGCAGTAATCAATACCAGTAGTACTATAAAATAAGGTAAAGTAGAACAAAAACTCATGAGAAATAGAAATAAGAAGAACATGAGAAAGTAATTGAGCTATATACAGGGTCAGTTCCAGGGTCAATATGTAGGGATCCTGGAGTGGTAGGGGTAGATATGTATAGGGGTAAGGTGACTCGGTAATGTCCTTCAGTCTGTCTCCATCTGCGTCCATTTCCTCTCCTCTACCTCCCACCTCTCTCTTTCTTTCTCTTTCTCTCTCCTTCCCTCCCTCCATCCCACTCTCCCTCCCTCCTTCCCTCCCTCCGTCTCTCAGGTGTGTCTCACCCTCACTGCCAAGCGTATGGCCAAAGAAGAACTGCCTGGTCAAGAATCTGGAAGCTGTGGAGACCCTGGGTTCTACCTCTACCATCTGTTCAGACAAAACAGGGACCCTGACCCAGAACCGCATGACCGTGGCCCACATGTGGTTTGACAACATGATCCATGAGGCCGACACTACGGAGGACCAGTCTGGTGAGACCACCAACAGACATCATCTGTCCCTTCTACACTCAACCAGACCCGTTGAATTAGTGGGCTTCTCTGCTCTGTTAAATGAGCTTTGATATAATAATTTAGAATAGAGATACTAGAAAGGAATAGAGATACTATACTGTGTGCTATACAATATCCTGAAGAAAGATACAAATTCAGCTCTGTCACATTATCTATGGTTGCAAAATTCTGGTATTTTTTCCCAATATTCCCAGGTTTTCCAGAAATCCCAGGTTTTCCAGAAATCCGGTTGAATTATTCCGGAATCAGGATGGAATATACAGGAAATCTGGGAATCTTCCAACTAGGATTTCTGGGAATTTTGGAAAAGATTAATCATCCCTCTGTAAGTCTAATGCATCTCCTGTTTTCCTTCAGGTGCCACCTTTGACAAGAGCTCAGCTACATGGCACACACTGTCTTGCGTGGCTGGGCTCTGCAACCGCGCTGAGTTTAAAGCTGGGCAGGAAAAGTTCCCCATCCTCAAGGTAGGGGATGGCCACTATACACCCATACCAGCGGTGGCTGATGAGGAGAGGATGGCTTATAGTAATGACTGGAATGGAATGATTGATACAGTATGAGTCTGTCGTCCGATTTAAAGGGGCCCCAATGACCATTAACCATGCGACTAAGTGTAATTTAGACACACCTGGCCACATTGAATCTAACAACACAAAACCCATTCCTCCTAACTGTTACAATAGCAATACCCACATGAAATAATACTACAGTTTACTATAGAATACTACAGTACTTACTATATAGTTCTATAGTATACGGTAGAATAGTATACGACACACTGTAGTATCCCTCCAATCATGTGCAGTACTTACTATAGAATGTTGTAGTATACTGTAGAATACTATAGTAAATACTACAGTAATGTCTGCAAAAACACTACACTTTTTTGACTATAGTAAATACTACAGTATTTAATTTGCATATACCCTGCCCTCCCCCATATCATAATTTGTGCCAGACATAATTGAGAAACCTAGATGGCAATTATAGGCCATATTGTGTTCCCTACACGTTATAGAAAAGAGCAGAAGCTCTGAACTATCCGTTCAGACCCCAGTCCTACCTACTTACAAGTTATGGAAAATGTGCCCTTTTAGTATTTCTCCAGTAGGTGTTCTGAAGGAGAAGCCTCCACTTCTATGTCAAAGATAATTAAGCAAAAATATTATAGTAAATACCAAAGTAATGCCCACAAAAACACTACAGTAAATAATACAGTATACTACAATCTGCAAAAACACTACATTAATTACTATAGGATATACTACAGTTTTCTTTTACTACAGTTTTTATACTATAGTTAACTGTAAATACTACAGTGAATACTATAGTATTTATACCATTGTATGCTATAGTATTTTTTCATGTGGGTAGTCACATACTAAACCAATTGTCAGTCAGCAATCCATTCTGACAACGTGAATAGACTGTCTCCTGCTGACTGTTTGATGTTGTGTTGTTTTGTAGAGGGACACTGCTGGCGACGCGTCAGAGTCTGCTCTGTTGAAATGTATCGAGCTCTCCTGTGGGTGTGTCCGCTCTATGAGAGACAGAAACCCCAAGGTGGGAGAGATTCCCTTCAACTCTACCAACAAGTACCAGGTATACAATTACCCCCTATAACGTGGCCATTTACAACACCAAACATACAGCAACTGCATAAACAAACTTTTTTTAATTGTTGTACAAACAGACCTACAGAACAATCTACAATTCAGAAGTATTTTGAACCACAAGAACCACTAAATATTTAATGACTGCAATGATAAAAGAGTAAAACGTGTATATATATATACTCTTATCTTCTAACTTCCTTCTGAAAGCTTTCCATTCATGAACATGAAGACAATGAAAATGGCCACCTACTCGTTATGAAGGGAGCACCTGAGAGAATATTGGACAGGTATTTATTTACATCAAAACTGTGTGTCCCTCAATAGGTAAATACCATAGTCACAGAAGCCATTATGCCAAAGATGCATAGATGTGCCCTCTATCCAACTCTGTGGCAAATACAGTGCATTCGGAAAGTATTTCAGACCCCTTGTTACGTTACAGCCTTATTCTAAAATGGATTAAATTGTTTTTTTCCCCTTCAACAATCTACACACAATACCCCATAATGACAAAGTAAAAAGAGGTTTATAGAAATTCTTGCAAATTTCTTAAAAATAAAAAACTGAAATAACACATTTACATAAGTATTCAGACCCTTTACTCAGTACTTTGTTGAAGCACCTTTGGCAGTGATTACAGCCTCAAGTCTTCTTGGGTATGACGCTACAAGCTTGGCACACCTGTATTTGGGGAGTTTCTCCAATTATTCTCTGCAGATCCTCTCAAGCTCTGTCAGGTTGGATGGGGAACGTCGCTATACAGCTATTTCAGGTGTCTCCAGAGATGTTCGATCGGGTTCAAGTCCGGGCTCTGGCTGGGCCACTCAAGGACATTCAGAGACTTCTCCCGAAGCCACTCCTGCGTTGTCTTGGCTGTGTGCTTAGGGTCGTTGTCCTGTTGGAAGGTGAACCTTCGCCCCAGTCTGAGGTCCTGAGCGCTCTGGAGAAGGTTTTCATCAAGGATCTCTCTGCACTTTGCTCTGTTCATCTTTCCCTCGATCCTGACTAGTCTCCCAGTTCCTGCCGCTGAAAAAACATCCCCATAGCATGATGCTGCCACCACCATGCTTCACCGTAGGGATGGTACCAGGTTTCCGCCAGACGTGACGCTTGGCATTCAGGCCAAAGAGTTCAATCTTGGTTTCACCAGACCAGAGAATCTTGTTTCTTATGGTCTGAGAGTCCTTTAGGTGCCTTTTGGCAAATTCCAAGTGGGCTGTCATGTGCCTTTTACTGAGGAGTGGCTTCTGTCTGGCCACTCTACCATAAAGGCCTGATTGGTGGAGTGCTGCAGAGATGGTTGTCCTTCTGGAAGGTTCTCCCATCTCCATAGAGGAACTATGGAGCTCCATCAGAGTGACCATCGGGTTCTTGGTAACCTCCTTGACCAACGCCCTTCTCCCCCGATTGCTCAGTTTGGCCGGGCGGCCAGCTCTAGGAAGAGTCTTGGTTGTTCCAAACTTCTTCCATTTAAGAATGATGGAGGCCACTGTGTTCTTGGGGACCTTCAATGCTGCAGACATTTTTTGGTACCCTTCCCCAGATCTGTGCCTCGACACAATCCTGTCTCGGAGCTCTACGGACAATTCCTTCAACCTCATGGCTTGGTCAGCTGTGAGACCTTATATAGACAGGTGTGTGCCTTTCCAAATCATGTCCAATCAATTGAATTTACCACAGGTGGACTCCAATCAAGTTGTACAAACATCTCAAGGATGATCAATGGAAACAGGATGCACCTGAGCTCAATTTCAAGTCTCATAGCAAAGGGTCTGAATACTTATGTAAATAAAGTATTTCTGTGTTTTAGGTTTTATAAATTTGCAAAAAATTCTAAAAACCAGTTTTCTCTTTGTCATTATGGGGTATTGTTTGTAGATTGATGAGGATATATATATATAATTTTAATCCAGTTTAAAATAAGGCTGTAATGTAACAATGTGGAAAAAGGGAAGGGGTCTGAATACTTTCCGAATGCACTGTACATATCTCACTGATTGACAACAACAGGTGAATAACTCCTATGTTTTGTGCATCTCTTAGGTGTAGTACCATCATGATCCACGGTCAGGAGGTTCCAATGGATGCCAACTGGAACGAAGCTTTCCAGAGTGCCTACATGGAGCTGGGAGGGCTGGGAGAGAGAGTTCTAGGTACGTACAGTACAGTATAAAGAGTGCCATTTGGGACTCAACTATGTTTTATATCTCCAGACCACACATGCCCCCTGGTCGTTGTCTGTGCCCTTCCTTTATGTGTCCCCTCTCAATCTGTATCTCCCTATCTGTTCCTTACATCTTTCCTGTCATAGAAACTCAATCAAATACAAAAGCAGATTTGAACCTTGATATCTAAAAAATGTCTCTGTCTGTTGTCTCTCTCTCCCTCAGGGTTCTGTCACTTGCCACTGTCTCCGGCCCAGTTCCCTCGGGGGTTCACCTTCGACTGTGAGGAGGTCAACTTCCCTACGGAGGGGCTGTGTTTCGTGGGCCTCATGTCCATGATTGACCCTCCCCGCGCTGCCGTGCCCGACGCTGTGGGGAAGTGCCGCTCCGCCGGGATTAAGGTGAGTCATCAACCAAGAAAGGTCGCAAAATTCCCTGTAACTTTAGCAAAATTCTCAGGTTTTCCAGAAATCACGGAAGAGTCCCGGAATAAGCGTGAAATCTAGGAATCCTCATACCGTGATTTCTGGAAAACCTGGGAATTTTGGGAAAGTTACTGGAATTTTGCAACCCTACAACCAATTAACCAATCAGCCAACACATCCAAACATGTCTCATTGGGTCCAATCAGAAGAGCGATAATGTTAGGCTAACACATACATGTTCATGATAAATGAGAAAAACAGAAAGCAAAAAAGATGGCAATGTGTATAAGTTAGCACAGGCACGAATGTCATAAATGAGCAAAACAGAGAAAAAAACAACAACAGATTGTTGTATGTGGTGACAGGTAACGATGATATATGTTGTGCTTATAGTTGTGATGATGTGCTATTAATGGTCCTCTATGCCGCCAGGTTATTATGGTGACAGGCGACCATCCAATCACTGCTAAAGCCATCGCTAAAGGCGTGGGCATCATCTCCGAGGGCAACGAGACTGTGGAGGACATCGCTGAAAGGCTGAATATTCCACTGAGCCAAGTCAACCCCAGGTGTGTGCGTGTGCGTGCGTGCCTGTGTGTGTGTGCGCCTGTGTGCGAGCGCTCATGTGTGATTTTGCACACGCTCGTGTGTGTATTTGTGTTGTTTCTCACTATCGGCTTGTATCTGTGTCTCTCCCCCAGGGATGCCAAGGCCTGTGTGGTGCACGGGGGGGACCTGAAGGACATGAGCGCAGAATACTTGGATGACCTGCTCAGGAACCACACTGAGATAGTGTTCGCCCGCACCTCACCTCAGCAGAAACTCATAATTGTAGAGGGCTGCCAGAGAACGGTGAAAGGACGTCTGTGTGCGTGTGTGCATGTGTGAATGCGAGTGTGTGTGTGTGTGTGTGTGTATGTGTGTGTGTTTGAGTCACTCTATAATTAAAGCATGGTTTGGAGTTAGGAATTTTGAATCTATTCTCCTGTTCAGAGTTTGATATTGTGGGGCTATTATTCTATAGAAAAGTATTTGATGGGAAAATGGCTCCAAAATTGACAGAGACAAACACTGCATTTATCTCCCATTCACAGCAGTGAACTAAAATATTTCTTATTTCCTGACCCTTTGTTCTCTTGTTCTAGGGGGCAATCGTTGCGGTTACTGGGGATGGAGTGAATGACTCACCTGCCCTGAAGAAGGCTGATATTGGGGTTGCCATGGGGATCGCTGGGTCTGATGTCTCCAAGCAGGCTGCTGACATGATCCTCCTGGACGACAACTTTGCCTCTATCGTCACAGGAGTGGAGGAAGGTAAGGAAGGAAGGAAGAGAGAGAGAGAGAAAGAAAGTGAAAAAAAGTGAAATACTGTAATTCAATCAACTTATCTGTTCTTATTCAATCCCAAACAGGCCGTCTGATCTTTGATAACTTGAAAAAGTCCATTGCCTACACCCTGACCAGTAACATTCCAGAGATCAGCCCTTTCCTCCTCTTCATCATCGCCAGCATTCCCCTGCCCCTGGGCACTGTCACCATCCTCTGTATCGACCTGGGAACTGACATGGTGAGGACCTGCCATGCTGACTGGAAAAGGAAAACCCGCACTGAAATAGTCTTGGGGCGGTTTCCCGGACACAGATTAATCCTTATTCCTGGACTAAAAACCATGTTGAATCTCAATTGAAAGTAATTTTTAGTCCAGGATTAGTCTTACAGCTGGTTGTGACTGTGAGTGTCAAGGAGTAGAGATATGATGAGTCAACATGGCCAGTCATAGAATCAAGAATTTGCATGCTCGACTCAATAGTTCATAATCAAAAGTATTTGGGTGCAGGGTTTAAAAGGCAGATCAACTGTGAAAGTAAAACCCACACTCACTGAAATAGTTGTAATATTCTTTAGCAGTCAGTTTATTTGATCTCTTCTGCTGCTGCTAAAGAACATTAAAACTATTTCAGTGAGTGTGAGTTTTACTTTCACAGTTTTATATGCCTTTTAAACCCTGCACCCAAAGACTTTTGATTATGAACTATTGAGTCGAGCATGCGAATTCTTGATTCTATGACTGGCATCATATCTCTACTCCTTGACACTCACAGTCACGACCAGCCGTTCTCTTAGATTGATCATACACTACCTTACAATCTATTAGTCCCAACTGCCCTGCCCTGGGTCAGGGTGAGAGCTGCTAAATCCACTAAAGCAAACTGGTTTTGTATCCACTCTGCTGTGTGGATTCTGATCTCACAAGTCCATTTCCCACCTTAACGCACACACATTGCCCACATGGGTTGCCTCACTACCTCAACCAACACAGGCTTTATTAGACCACCCGGTCAACAGACCCATGCCCATATCAGAGGACACAGGGCATGCCTATCCACACAGCCCACACCAGCCCAACATGGCTAGCCTACAACAACCCAACACAGGCTAGCCCACACCGTCCAAGACGGACAGCCCATACCAGCCCACACCAAGCCCACTCAGCCCACACCAAGCCCACACAGGCTAGCCCACACACCAAGCCCACACACTGCCCAACACGGGCAAGCCCAGCACGGGCTAGTCCACACCAAGCCCAGCACGGGCTAGCCCACACCAAGCCCAGCACGGGCTAGCCCACACCAAGCCCAGCACGGGCTAGCCCACACCAAGCCCAGCACAGGCTAGCCCATACCAAGCCCAGCTAGAGGCTAGCCCACACCAAGCCCAGCACAGGCTAACCCACACCAAGCCCAGCACAGGCTAGCCCACACCAAGCCCAGCACGGGCTAACCCACACCAAGCCCAGCACGGGCTAGCCCACACCAAGCCCAGCACGGGCTAGCCCACACCAAGCCCAGCACGGGCTAGCCCACACCAAAGCCCAGCACGGGCTAGCCCACACCAAGCCCAGCACGGGTCTAGCCCACACCAAGCCCAGCACGGGCTAGCCCACACCAAGCCCAGCACAGGCTAGCCCACACCAAGCCCAGCAACGAGGCTAGCCCATACCAAGCCCAGCTAGAGGCTAGCCCACACCAAGCCCAGCACAGGTTAACCCACACCAAGCCCAGCACGGCTAACCACACAAGCCCAGCACGCTAGCCCCAAGCCACGGGCTAGTCCACACCAAGCCCAGCACGGGCTAGTCCACACCAAGCCCAGCACGGGCTAGCCCATACCAAGCCAGCACGGGCTAGCCCACACCAAGCCCAGCACGGGCTAGCCCACACCAAGCCCAGCACGGGCTAGCCCACACCAAGCCCAGCACGGGCTAGCCCACACCAAGCCCAGCACGGGCTAGCCCACACCAAGCCCAGCACGGGCTAGCCCACACCAAGCCCAGCACGGGCTAGCCCACACCAAGCCCAGCACGGGCTAGCCCACACCAAGCCCAGCACGGGCTAGCCCACACCAAGCCCAGCACGGGCTAGCCCACACCAAGCCCAGCACGGGCTAGCCCACACCAAGCCCAGCACGGGCTAGCCCACACCAAACCCAGCTAGAGGCGGGGGCTCATTAGAATATTTGGGGCCGTGATTTGCACATAGTTCTTTTTGTGCAACTGTTACTGAGTGTCTTTCCAGTTTAAGGGTTATGTTATGTGATGCCCACATTTTGGTGATCTTGTACAATGACAATGATGACGTCTTTAAAAATACTTGTGACATATGAGAAACTTAGCAGTTTCCCTTGTATGAAAAAATATATGTATGATAGTAACAACTTGGTTGTCTTTCTGATGCAATGTATCACTTTCCCTAAATACCTTTAAGGCTAATAAATTATGCACTTTAAGCATTGAATTGAAAGTGTCACAAATAAATTATAAATAATTTCTTATTAAATAGAAAAAGTGCATTGGCCCAATGTTGGCAGCCTACATGGGGCCAATATTTTAGCCCGCATTGGGCCCACATCGTGCCAATGTGGGCATGTTTGCTGCGTATAGCTTTATCACATTGTTCTGTCTGTCATACATTCTCTCACACTCCTCTCTCTCCTTCTCTCGCTCCCTTGCTCTCTCTCTCTCCGTCTCTTTCTCTCTCTCTCCTCTCCCCCCTCTCTCTCCCTCCCCCCTCTCTGTCTGGGTCCAGGTTCCTGCTATCTCATTGGCCTACGAGACGGCTGAGAGTGACATCATGAAGCGTCAGCCCCGGTGCCCAAAGACGGACAAGCTGGTGAACGACAGACTGATCAGCATGGCCTACGGACAGATAGGTCAGAATACCTCCTCCCCTTGCAGGCTCATCCATGGGTCTGTGTCCTAAATGGCACCCTATCATGGGCCCTGGTCAAAAGTAGTGCACTATATAGGGAATAGGTTTCCACCCTTGTGTCTGTCCACCATATGATATCCTATAAAATGAACTAAAACACACACATCAATGGTGGAACTCAAATCTACACAAATACTATGATGTAGTGTAACAAATGATTTTGTATGCATCCTAAATGGCCCCCTATCATGGGATCTGGTCAAAAGTGGTGCACAAAATAGTGAATGGGGTGCCATTTCAGACGCACAGATTGCCTTTTTACCCTCTGTTATTCATGCCAGTTATTGAAAGTTACACTGAGTGTAGAAGACATTAGGAACACCTTCCTAATATTGAGTTGCTTCCCCTTTTGCCCTGAGAACAGCCTCAATTCGTCAGGGCATGGACTCTACAAGATGTCGAAAGCGTTACACAGGGATGCTGGCCCATGTTGACTCCAATGCTTCCCACAGTTGTGTCAAGTTGGCTGGATGTCCTTTGGGTGGTGGACCATTCTTGATACACACTGGAAACTATTGAGCGTGAATACACTCAAACCGGTGCGCCTGGCACCTACTACCATACCCCGTTCAAAGGCACTTAAATATTTTGTCTTGCCCATTCAACCTCTGAATGGCACACATACACAATCCATGTCTCAGTTGTCTCAATGCTTAAAAATCCTTCTTAAATCTATCTCCTCCCCTTCATCTACACTGATTGAAGTGGATTTAACAAGTGGCATCAATAAGGGATCATAGCTTTCACTTGATTCACCTGGTCAGTCTATGTCATGTTTGTTCACTCGGTGTATATTGTGCTGATGGACTTGTCTCTTTCTCTCCAGGTATGATCCAGGCCGTAGCAGGTTTCTTCACCTACTTTGTGATCCTGGCTGAGAATGGCTTCTGGCCAGGGACCCTCCTTGGCATCCGTCTGAACTGGGATGATCGTGCTAACAACGAGGTGGAGGACAGCTATGGACAGCAGTGGGTGAGAATGAGAGGGTTTAACATACATAGCACTTACGGATTGGAGCGAAAGGTTAAAGGTCCATGCAGTCAGTAGCTATATTTTAAGCAGAGCCACACCAAGTTACTACAACAGTTTTTATTTTTTAAGTAAACTTGCACACCTTGACGTACTACCAGGTGCATGGAGAAAAAATGGTGGTCATGGTGGTCAATAAAAAGAAAAATTCCAGCACACTCGTAATTTTGATGCTTCCAACAATTGAATGGATCTAAATGGTTGGATGCATCAAAATTACCTGTGTGCTGGAGTTTTTCTTTTTATTGACTACAACAGGTGTAAGATGTGTTTCCTTTTGCAGACCTATGAGCAGCGAAAGATCATTGAGTTCACCTGTCATACCTCGTTCTTTGCGAGCATCGTGGTAGTGCAGTGGGCTGATCTGGTTATCTGCAAGACCAGGAGGAACTCTGTCTTCCAGCAGGGCATGAAGTAAGTGGAAAAGGATGCGTCTCAAATGGCACCCGATCCCCCATATAATGCACTACTTTTGACCATGGCCCATAGGGCTCTGGTCAAAAGTAGTGTACTATATAGGGAATAGGGTGCCATTTGGGACACACACACAATGTAAGAGATGATTTTTGACTTTGTATAAGTAGTAGGCTTATGGTTATTTATTAAAAATTGTGCCCTTTTCTTGCTGAACTATTTCCTGTATTCACCTCTTCCATCCCCATTTCCTTAACAGGAATCGTATCCTGATCTTTGGCCTGTTTGCTGAGACTGCTCTGGCTGCCTTCCTGTCCTACTGCCCAGGAATGGACATCGCCCTCCGCATGTACCCCCTGAAGTCAGTAATAGACAACACACTCTCCACCCTACCCTAAAAGCAATGACATCCTATCCCCAACACCCCCGTTTTTCATTCTACCCCAAAACTACTAAGTCCCTCACGTGCCTTTCTCATATCACACTTTCTCATATACATGGATTTTACAATGAACTACCCCTGAAGTCACTCAAAAATCCCCAGCCTCAACACCTCCAAAACATGTCCCACAAATGATTTCCTCACACCCTCATCACATCCTCGTATCACCCCAATGATTCTGAGGGTGAATCTGCATGGATTATCAATATGTTACGAATTGCAATTTGTACAATATGTTACGAATTCCAATCAAATCAAATTGTATTTGCCACATGCGCCGAATACAACAGATGTAGACCTTGCAGTGAAATGCTTACTTAGAAGCCTTTAACCAACAATGCAGTTTTTAAAGAAAAAAATTGATAAGTAAAAAATAGAAAATAGAAAATAATTAAAGAGCAGCAGTAAAATAAAATAACAGTAGGGAGGCTATATATAGAGGGTACCGGTACAGAGTCAATGTGCGGGGGCACCGGTTAGTCGAGGTAATTGGATAGCTAACCAAACAATAGCTGGAACGACCTAGCTTTAATATTTGGAGACGCTTTCTCTCCGTTGGGACAGACACGAACTGGCTGAATCGATTCAGTGGCTAGCTTTGCACTTAACTGCCTAACAGTAGCTACTAATGGTAAGTTATAACCTACATTTATTTTTGTTTTGTTTTTACATACTGGTAACAAGAGTCGTTCAAGGGAATTCGGGACATGGGTGACTAGTTAACGTTAGCATGGCTCTCTGTGTGTTCGTGCCATGGGAGGAGGGGTTCGTTCGTTGGCAGAGAGCAATGGCTAGCTAGTATGCTAACTATTCTAGCTAACTAACTGGCTGAATAAGTTGACGACGTACTCACTCAAACTGTCAAAACGAACCCAAAACTTTACACAACACGGACACGAATGATCTGCTTTGTGTGTTAACACACTGGTGGTTTGTTGTAACCAAGTATTGGTGCTAAACCTTGTTATTGGAGGCTGGCATGCTAGTTGGCTTTGGCGTCATAGGATTCGGTGCCCTAGACGGTTTTCACAGAAGAATACTGTACCAAGTTAGCTAGCTGAATAAACTAGTTAGATTCCTAGAAAACATTAAACCGCTGTAGTTTACAACAATTATAATTTCTAAAGTGGAAGTTGGGAGATATATTTGAGAGTTTCAGTGAAACGTAAGTGAGGGAGGCCCCGCTCTCGCTTTCCCAGATGTTTAGTTAATTTCATTCCGATCTCCTTTGCATTATTGTAGCCTTTTTCTGTAGCCTGTCAAAGATGTGTCTGTCTATCCCTGTTCTCTCCTCTCTGCACAGGCCATACAAAGGCTTCACACCACGTGGCTGTTGCCACTCTAATCTGGTGGTCCCTGCGCGCACGACCCACGTGGAGTTCCAGGTCTCTGGCAGCCTATGGAACTGCCGTTCTGTGGCCAACAAGGCAGAGTTCATCTCAGCCTATGCTACCCTCCAGTCCCTCGACTTCTTGGAGCTGACGGAAACATGGATTACCACAGAAAACACTGCTACTCCTACTGCTCTTTCCTTGTCTAACCATGTGTTCTCGCATACCCCGAGAGCATCTGGTCAGCGCGGCGGTGGCACAGTAATCCTCATCTCTCCCAAGTGGACATTCTCTCTTTATTCCCTGACCCATCATGCTGTCACAGTCACTAGCCCATTCAAGCTTAACATCCTTGTCATTTATCGCCCTCCAGGTTCCCTTGGAGAGTTCATCAATGAGCTTGACGCCTTGATAAGTTCCTTTCCTGAGGATGGCTCACTCCTCCCAGTTCTGGGTGACTTTAACCTCCCTACGTCTGCCTTTGACTCATTTCTCTCTGCCTCCTTCTTTCCACTCCTCTCCTCTTTTGACCTCACCCGCTGATCGTCCCCCCCCCCCTACTCACAAGGCAGGCAATACGCTTGACCTCATCTTTACTAGATGCTGGTCTTCTACTAATCTCACTGCAACTCCCCTCCAAGTCTCCGACCACTACTTTGTATCCTTTTCTCTCTCGCTCTCCTCCAACACTACTCACTCTGCCCCTACTCAGATGGTAATGTGCCGTCGCAACCTTTGCTCTCTCTCTCCCGCTACTCTCTCCTCTTCCATCCTATCATCTCTTCCCTCTGCTAAATCCTTCTCCCTCCGATCTCCTGATTCTGCCTCCTCAACCCTCCTCTCCTCCCTTTCTGCATATTTTGACTCTCTATGTCCCCTATCCTTCCGGCCGGCTCGGTCCTCCCCTCCTGCGCCGTGGCTTGACGACTCATTGCAAGCTCACAGAAGAGGGCTCCGGGCAGCCGAGTGGAAATGGAGGAAAACTAAACTCCCTGCGGACCTGTCATCTTTTCACTCCCTCCTCTCTACATTCTCTTCCTCTGTTTCCGCTGCTAAAGCCACTTTCTACCACACTAAATGTCAAGCCTCTGCCTCTAACCCTAGGAAGCTCTTTGCCACCTTCTCCTCCCTGCTGAATCCCCCTCCTCCTGCCCCTCCCTCCTCCCTCTCTATGGATGACTTCGTCAACCATTTTGAAAAGAAGGTTGACGACATCCGATCCTCATTTATCAAGTCAAATGACACCTCTGGTCCTGCTCACACTGCCCTACGCTATGCTTTGACTTCTTTCTCCCCTCTCTCTCCAGATGAAATATTGCGACTTGTGACGGCCGGCTGCCCAACAACCTGCCCGCTTGACCCTATCCCCTTCTCTCTTCTCCAGTCCATTTCCGGAGACCTTCTCCCTTACCTCACCTCGCTCATCAACTCATCCTTGACCGCTGGCCATGTCCCTTCCATCTTCAAGAGAGTGAGAGTTGCACCCCTCCTCCAGACCAGTATCCCTTCTTTATTTTCTCTCCAAAACTCTTGAGCTTGCCGACTCTAGCCAACTCTCCTGCTATCTCTCTCAGAATGACCTTCTTGATCCAAACCAGTCAGGTTTCAAGACTGGTCATTCAACTGAGACTGCTCTTCTCTGTGTCACAGAGGCTCTCCGCACTGCTAAAGCTAACTCTCTCTCCTCTGCTCTTATCCTTCTAGACCTATCCGCTGCCTTTGATACTGTAAACCATCAGATCCTCCTCTCCACCCTCTCCGAGTTGGGCATCTCCGGCGCTGCTCACTCTTGGATTGCGTCCTACCTGACAGGTCGCTCCTACCAGGTGGCGTGGCGAGAATCTGTCTCCGCACCACGTGCTCTCACCACTGGTGTCCCCCAGGGCTCAGTTCTAAGCCCTCTCCTATTCTCTCTATACACCAAGTCACTTGGCTCTGTCATATCCTCATATGGTCTCTCCTATCATTGCTACGCAGACGACACACAATTAATTTTCTCCTTTCCCCCTTCTGATAACCAGGTGGCGAATCGCATCTCTGCATGTCTGGCAGACATATCAGTGTGGAAGTCGGATCACCACCTCAAGCTGAACCTCGGCAAGACGGAGCTGCTCTTCCTCCCGGGGAAGGACTGCCCGCTCCATGATCTCGCCATCACGGTTGACAACTCCATTGTGTCCTCCTCCCAGAGTGCAAAGAACCTTGGCGTGACCCTGGACAACACCCTGTCATTCTCCGCTAACATCAAAGCGGTGACCCGATCCTACAGGTTCATGCTCTACAACATTTGCAGAGTACGACCCTACCTTACACAGAAAGCGGCACAGGTCCTAATCCAGGCACTTGTCATCTCCCGTCTGGATTACTGCAACTCGCTGTTGGCTGGGCTCCCTGCCTGTGCCATTAAACCCCTACAACTTATCCAGAACGCCGCAGCCCGTCTGGTGTTCAACCTTCCCAAGTTCTCTCATGTCACCCCGCTCCTCCGCTCACTCCACTGGCTTCCAGTTGAGGCTCGCATCTACTACAAGACCATGGTGCTTGCCTACCGAGCTGTGAGGGGAATGGCACCTCCTTACCTTCAGGCTCTGATCAGACCCTACACCCAAACGAGGGCACTACGTTCATCCACCTCTGGCCTGCTAGCTCCCCTATCTCTACAGAAGTACAGTTCTCGCTCAGCCCAGTCAAAGCTATTCGCTGCTCTGGCACCCCAATGGTGGAACAAGCTCCCCCACGACGCCAGGACAGTGGAGTCACTGACCACCTTCCGGAGACACTTGAAACCCTACCTCTTTAAGGAATACCTGGAATAGTATAAAGTAATTATTCTACACCCCCCCCCCCCCCCCCAACCCCCCATATAAAAAATATAAAAAATAAATAAAGTGGTTGTCCCACTGGCTATCATAAGTTGAATGCATCAATTTGTAAGTCACTCTGGACAAGAGCGTCTGCTAAATGATGTAAATGTAAATGTAATTGAGGTAATATATACATGTGGGTTGAGTTAAAGTGACTATGCATAAATAATAAACAGAGTAGCAGCAGCGTAAAAGAGGGGGTTGGGGTGGGGTGGGGGGAAATGCAAATAGTCTGTGTAGCTTTGATTAGCTGTTCAGGAGTCTTATGGCTTGGGTGTAGAAGCTGTTAAGAAGCCTTTTGGACCTAGACTTGGCGCTCCGGTACTGCTTGCCGTGCGGTAGCAGAGAGAACAGTCTATGACTAGGGTGGCTGGAGACTTTGACCATTTTTAGGGCCTTCCTCTGACACCGCCTGGTATAGAGGTCCTTGATGGCAGGAACCTTGGCCCCAGTGATGTACTGGGCCGTACGCACTACCCTCTGTAGTGCCTTGCGGTCGGAGGCCGAGCAGTTGCCACACCAGGCGGTGATGCAACCAGTCAGGCTGCTCTCGATGGTGCAGCTGTAGAACTTTTTGAGGATCTGAGGACCCATGCCAAATCTTTTCAGTCTCCTGAGGGGGAATAGGCTTTGTCGTGCCCTCTTCACAACTGTCTTGATGTGTTTGGACCATGATAGTTTGTTGGTGATGTGGACACCAAGGAACTGGAAGCTCTAAACTTGTTCCACTACAGCCCTGTCGATGAGAATGGGGACGTGCTCAGTCCTCTTTTTGTTCCTGTAGTCCACAATCATCTCCTTTGTCTTGATCATGTTGAGGGAGAGGTTGTTATCCTGGCACCACACGGCCAGGTCTCTGACCTCCTCCCTATAGGCTGTCTCATCGTTGTCTGTGATCAGGCCTACCACTGTTGTGTCGTCTGCAAACTTAATGATGGTGTTGGAGTCGTGCCTGGCCATGCAGTCATGGGTGAACAGGGAGTACAGGAGGGGACTGAGCACGCACCCCTGAGGGGCCCCCGTCAGGAAGTCCAGGATCCAGTTGCAGAGGGAGGTGTTTAGTCCCAGGGTCCTTAGCGTAGTGATGAGCTTTGAGGGCACTATGGTGTTGAACGCTGAGCTGTACTCAATGAATAGCATTCTCACGTAGGTGTTCCTCTTGTCCAGATGGGAAAGGGCAGTGTGGAGTGCAATAGAGATTGCATCATCATTGGATCTGTTGGGGCGGTATGCAAATTAGAGTGGGTCTAGGGTTTCTGGGATAATGGTGTTGATATGAGCCATGACCAGCCTTTCAAAGCACTTCATGGCTACAGACGTGAGTGCTACGGGTCGGTAGTCATTTAGGCAGGTTACCTTAGTGCTCTTGGGCACAGTGACTATGGTGGTGTGCTTGAAACATGTTGGTATTACAGACTCAGTCAGGGACATGTTGAAAATGTCAGTGAAGACACTTGCCAGTTGGTCAGCACATGCTCGGAGTACACGTCCTGGTACTCCGTCTGGCCCTGCGGCCTTGTGAATGTTGACCTGCTTAAAAGTCTTACTCACATCGGCTTTGGAGAGCGTGATCACATAGTCATCAGGAACAGCTGGATGCTCTCCTGCATGCAGTGTTGCTTTCCTCGAAACGAGCATAGAAGTGATTTAGCTCGTCTGGTAGGCTTGTGTCACTGGGCAGCTCGCGTCTGTGCTTCCCTTTTGTAGTCTGTAATAGTTTTCAAGCCCTGCCAATTTGTTGTGGCTAACGTTAGCTAGGTGGCTAACGCTAACGTTAGCTATGTGGCTACGTTAGCTAGGTGTTAGGGTTAGGGGTTAAGGTTAGCGTTAAGGTTAGGAGTTAGGTTAAAGATTTAAGGTTAGGGTTATGGGAAGGGTTAGCTAACATGCTAAGTAATTGCAAAGTAGCTAAAAAGTAGTAAGTAGTTGCAAAGTTGCTAAAATGCTAAAATTGTCCCAGATTTGCTTTTACTATGTTATGTCTAGTCTATGAGACCAGGCTGGGATTTTACAATGAATACACCACCCACCTTTCCCTTGTCGCTGACTCTCTCTCTCTTTCTCATTCAGGGTCTCCTGGTGGTTCTGTGCCCTCCCCTACAGTGTCCTCATCTTCATCTATGACGAGATCCGCAAGCTCATCATCAGGAGGTGTCCTGGAGGTGGGTGACATAGAGTAACATAGTGACACATAGGTGATAAAAAAAAGCAGTGGTGTAAAGTAAAAATACTTTAAAGTACTACTTAAGTAGTTTTTGGGGTGTATCTGTACTTTACTATTTATATTTCGGACAGCTTTTACTTCACTACATTCCTATAGAAATTAAAGTACATTTTACTCCATACATTTTCCCTGACACCCAGAAGTACTCGTTACATTTTGAATGCTTAGCAGGACAGGAAAATGGTCAAATTCATACTCTTATCAAGAGAAACTCCCTGGTCATCCCTACTGCTGCTGATCTGGCGGACTTACTAAACACACATGCTTTGTTTGTAAATGATGTCTGAGTGAGACCCTGGCTATCCGTAAATACATAAAAATAAAAAAAATGGTGCCTTCTGGTTTGCTTAATATAAGGAATTTGAAATGATTTATACTTTTACTTTTGATACTTACGTATATTTTACCGATTACATTTATTTTTTATACTTAAGTATATTTAAAACCAAATACTTTGAGACTTCTACTCAATTAGTATTTTACTGGGTGACTTTCACTTTTGCTTGAGTCATTTTTTATTAAGGTATCTTTTACTCAAGAATGACAATTGGGTACTTTTTCCACCACTGATAAAAAGTGACTTAGCGTGACATAGAATATGTGCCATAGAGGGACACAGAGACACAGAAGATGCCGGTTGTCTGTCACTGAGACAAAAATATTCAAAAAAGTTAATTTATCATGACAGTTAATCGCTCATGTTGATTAGTCATGTTAATAATCAGATTGATGTGCTGGGGATCAGAGAGTCACTGAGTTAAAAGGGACTTTTCATATTGAAACACATAGATGAAGAGATAATGGGATATAATGACGTTGTCTAATAGGTTATCTTAGTGTTCTTGGGCACAGGGACTATGGTGGTCTGCTTGAAACATGTTGGTATTACATACTCAGTCAGGGACATGTTGAAAATGTCAGTGAAGACACCTGCCAGTTGGTCAGCGCATGCTCGGAGTACACGTCCTGGTAATCCGTCTGGCACTGCGGCCTTGTGAATGTTGACCTGCTTAAAAGTCTTACTCACATCGGCTACAGAGAGCGTGATCACATAGTCATCAGGAATAGCTGATGCTCTCATGCATGCTTCAGTGTTGCTTGCCTCGAAACGAGCATAGAAGTGATTCAGCTCGTCTGGTAGGCTTGTGTCACTGGGCAGCTCGCGGCTGTGCTTCCCTTTGTAGTCTGTAATAGTTTTCAAGCCCTGCCAATTTGTTGTGGCTAACGTTGGCTAGGTGGCTAACGCTAACGTTAGCTAGGTGGCTAACGTTAGCTAGGTGTTAGGGTTAGGGGTTAAGGTTAGCTTTAAGATTAGGAGTTAGGTTAAAGGGTTAAGGTTAGGGTTATGATTTTAAAAAGTTCATTTATCATGACAGTTAATTGCTCATGGTAATTAGTCATGTTAATAATCAGATTGATGTGCTGGGGATCAGAGAGTCACTGAGTTAAAAGGGCCTTTTCATATTGAAACGCTTGGATGAAGAGATAATGGGATATAATGACATTGTCTAATAGAGTCGTATTCGTGTCTGACTATTCTTTTTCTTTCTCTTTTATAGGTTGGGTGGAACAGGAGACTTATTATTAACATTCAGAAAATTATTATTGTGAGTTTGAATTTCTGTGAGTGTGTGTGAATGAGTGAGTATATGTGTGTATGCAAGGTCTAGCTAAGCAAAGAACATAGCTTGTGTATGCACAACAAAAATACCTTACAAATTGAATTTTGTCTTTGAAAAGGATTAACAATGGGTGGCGGTCTGCAGTATTTAAAAATAAGCCTACAGTACCACTGTAAATCCTGCTAGTGTGTGTGTGTTTGTGTGTTTGTTTGTCTGCCAGGCAATTTGTGTATTATTGCAAGGATCAGTTTATCAGTACACAATTCAGGTTATTGTAGAGAATACTGCTGCAAATAAGCTTGTAATTGTGATTGATATTGCTGAGTTTTCCAAATGACAATTATTGTACTAGAAGGATTTTTCAAACCCAAATGTTGCAAAATGCCTGTAGCATACTAATGCACCCTGAATATTTTTTTCTTCAACAAAAAACATTAAAAACAAAATGCAAATCATGTCAATTTGCATGAATTTAATTGCAGAAATTATCAGGACTGAAGGCTATCCATCCCTAATGGCACCCTATCCTCTACATAGTGCAGTTATTTTGACCAGAGCCATATGAGCCCTGATCAAAAGTTGTGCATTAGGGAATAGGGTGCCATTTGGGTCTGAATCTTGTTGTGTGAAAATAAATTGCTCTGAAAATCTCTATATGAAATAAAGTTAATCTGAACAAAGCAGTTGTTGTTTGCTCCTTTGTTACCCATTACGCGTGATTCATGATGATGACTGCTTGTCTAGCTTGCCAGCTAAGATTTTGAAAGTGTGATATTGACACGATTAGTCCAAATTAAGCTACGGTAGATATAACGTGATTTGACGTCATTTTATCTGTGGCAAATGGCCTTGAGCCTTCTTGGATGGGCACTTCTAATGTAACTCTACGGCAGCACCCATGGGGCTTTTTTTTTGCTGAACAGGTGGGGCTCAAAACACCTGCCCTGAATGACGGGTCGGCACTGAGCCTACACCGCATACCAAACAAGCAAGACACAGAAAGGCAGTCAATAGCGATTTAATGTAATTTTTTCATCATCATTGCAAACATTGGCTAAACGGGAGCCACGACTGCTGGCTATATGGCAGCATAACTATAATGATCACATCATCACACAAAACGCTAATTGTTTTGCCCAAATGCAATGTATAGACTGTCTTGCTTGTGCTACGGCAATATCCGTTACAACAGACAGATAAGGTTGTAGCCTAAATATATATTTTTGGAACGTTCGTTCAAATCGCAGATGTTCAGAAATATGAGACGGAGAGAGAGTCTAAATCCTCATATCGATCAAATTGGTTGAGGGTTCAGAAGATGGTGAGTAAAGCGAGAAACGTAGGCCTAAACGTGTGTGCAGAAGTGATTCGGATCAGATTTGAGAAATACGTCTCAAGAGGGGCGGGGCGGGGGCGAACACTCCGTATTTGTAGCCTCTGCCTTTAAATGTATGATATATAGGCATCCCATTGATTCTTGAAGAATATAACTTATTATATATTGGTCCTCTGTAGCTCAATTGGTAGAGCATGGCGCTTGTAACCCCAGGGTAGTGGTTTCGATCCCCGGGACCACCCATACGTAAAAATGTATGCACACATGACTGTAAGTAGCTTTGGATAAAAGCGTCTGCTACATTTACATTTTCGTCATTTAGCAGACGCTCTTATCCAGAGCGACTCACAAATCGGTGCATTCACCTTATGATAGCCAGTGGGACAACCACTTTACAATATTATTATTTTTTTTTAAAAATGTTTTGGGGGTGGGGTAAGGGGGGGGTAGAAGGATTACTTTATCCTATCCCAGGAATTCCTTAAAGAGGTGGGGCATAAATGGCTTATTATTATTATTATTATTATTATTATTATTATTATTATTATTATTATAATGCCTCATGAGCTTAGTTCAACTGTCGTAACCCATCAGAACCCAACATATAAGATTGTTTTACTCCAATGTTTGTGCACAATGTAAATGTAAACACACTGTATAGCCTCAAAACATGGTTAAAACTATCATTTTGATATCATGGATGGTCAGTCCTTGCAACTGTCTATGAATTTGAGAGTGGTTACATTTCAACAGGCCCATTCCTCAGCTTTTTTTTCTCCAAAACTGAGGTGGGCTGACCACTTTGTTATTGTGTCAATTATAGATTCTAGCTTTTATGCAGTTTTACTGTAAATATTTGTTACATTAGGCCTACCCTTCAAAATGACTTTCTCAAAATGGCAGTACAGGCCCGCCCTGGGGACACACTTTTCACGCCACTTCAATACAGCTACGACCGGAAGTGATTTTCGTTGCAGGTTAGGAGAGCATTTTCCCTAACACTAACCCTTTTCCGAACCATAACCTCAGTCTCCTAACCTGCTACATGAATTATCCTAATCACTGTGTAAATCTGGCCCTAATACCATTATGGCCACCTAATCATCCCCAGCTTCCAATGGTCTCATTCATTCCCCCTCCTCCCATGTAAATGAGGTCATATTATGACGTCAGTGGTCTTCAGGTCGGAAAGTCGTAGCTCTAGAAAGAAGCCCGAATTTCCGAGTAGGAATTCCGAATTGCATGACCGTTCAAAACGATTTTTCCGAGTCGGAGCTCGTTTTTATCCGATGTTCCAGTCGGAGATTTCCGAGTTCCCAGTCGTTTAGAACGCGGCATAACATCTAGAAACGCCATATCCTGTTCCAGCTGTCAAATAAAAAATGGCGTTGCTTCTAAGGTCAGTAACTAGCTAACTGTACCTTATCTAACTTTGAAACGGTTTATTTGGGGGTTCCTTTCGTTTGTTGGTTAGACGTGTAATACTCATTTAGATTAATTTGACGTTCAAGTAGATCGTTTAGCTAGAAAGCTCGCTTCACACCACTAACGTCATAACATTGTTGCTTGCTGCACATGCTAAGTTAGCTAGATAGCTCTTCCTGTGACGACAGGTTTGAGATGTGCATGTTATTTTGATAGCTAATAAACGCTACAATGAGCTCTACATTCGTATGGAGGCCATGCGTCCAAGTTCCATGGATGTAACGTTAGCCTGCTTGTGAAGTATCGTAACTAACTAAATTAACTTGTCCCAACCTTTGGATGTGAGGTTAGCTAGGGACTCCTCATGTGTGGCCCAAATAGAAGTTGAACCCTTTTACTACTAGCTACTTAGCTAGCTAGGTTACTAGTATTTCTCCCTCATATACAGTGAGGGAAAAAAGTATTTGATCCCCTGCTGATTTTGTACGTTTGCCCACTGACAAAGACATGATCAGTCTATAATTTTAATGGTAGGTTTATTTGTACAGTGAGAGACAGAATAACAACAAAATAATCCAGAAAAACGCATGTCAAAAATGTTATAAATTGATTTCCATTTTAATGAGGGAAATAAGTATTTGACCCCTCTGCAAACATGACTTAGTACTTGATGGCAAAACCATTTTTAGTATTCAGAGGTCAGACGTTTCTTGTAGTTGGCCACCAGGTTTGCACACATCTCAGGAGGGATTTTTTGTCCCACTCCTCTTTGCAGATCTTCTCCAAGACATTAAGGTTTCGAGGCTGACGTTTGGCAACTCGAACCTTCAGCTCCCTCCACAGATTTTCTACAGGATTAAGGTCTGGAGACTGGCTAGGCCACTCCAGGACCTTAATGTGCTTCTTCTTGAGCCACTCCTTTGTTGCCTTGGCCGTGTATTTTGGGTCATTGTCATGCTGGAATACCCATCCACGACCCATTTTCAATGCCCTGGCTGAGGGAAGGAGGTTCTCACCCAAGATTTGACGGTACATGGCCCCGTCCATCGTCCCTTTGATGCGGTGAAGTTGTCCTGTCCCCTTGGCAGAAAAACACCCCCAAAGCATAATGTTTCCACCTCCATGTTTGACGGTGGGGATGGTGTTCTTGGGGTCATAGGCAGCATTCCTCCTCCTCCAAACACGGCGAGTTGAGTTGATGCCAAAGAGCTCGATTTTGGTCTCATCTGACCACAACACTTTCACCCAGTTCTCCTCTGAATCATTCAGATGTTCATTGGCAAACTTCAGACGGGCCTGTATATGTGCTTTCTTGAGCAGGGGGACCTTGCGGGCGCTGCAGGATTTCAGTCCTTCACGGCGTAGTGTGTTACCAATTGTTTTCTTGGTGACTATGGTCCCAGCTGCCTTGAGATCATTGACAAGATCCTCCCGTGTAGTTCTGGGCTGATTCCTCACCGTTCTCATGATCATTGCAACTCCACGAGGTGAGATCTTGCATGGAGCTCCAGGCCGAGGGAGATTGACAGGTCTTTTGTGTTTCTTCCATTTGCGAATAATCACACCAACTGTTGTCACCTTCTCACCAAGCTGCTTGGCGATGGTCTTGTAGCCCATTCCAGCCTTGTGTAGGTCTACAATCTTGTCCCTGACATCCTTGGAGAGCTCTTTGGTTTTGGCCATGGTGGAGAGTTTGGAATCTGATTGATTGATTGCTTCTGTGGACAGGTGTCTTTTATACAGGTAACAAGCTGAGATTAGGAGCACTCCCTTTAAGAGTGTGCTCCTAATTTCAGCTCGTTACCTGGATAAAAGACACCTGGGAGCCAGAAATCTTTCTGATTGAGATGGGGTCAAATACTTATTTCCCTCATTAAAATGCAAATCAATTCATAACATTTTTGACATGCGTTTTTCTCGATTTTCTTGTTGTTATTCTGTCTCTTACTGTTCAAATAAACCTACCATTAAAATCATAGACTGATCATTTCTTTTTCATTGGTCAAACATACAAAATCAGCAGGGGATCAAATACTTTTTTCCCTCACTGTAGAAAGGTCTTTGAACATTAACTTCCTTGAAATGTTGAACTTTGACCACACAGTTTATGATTGCTTGTGTATTGTTAATTGAGCCATTGCGCAACTTTCGCACCAATGTCAAACAAGCCATAATGAATTAAGAAGGAACCTGCTCAGTGAAACAAATCTTGTCATTAAACCTTGTTATTACTAACATTACTATATGTGTTTTGCTTCATCTCTCTCAGGACATTAGCCCGACAGGGCACTTGCTTGTCCCGCCCTCAGTTTGGCATTCTATACAGACAGTGAGTAGATGTGCCGAGTGTGTCTGTGTACACTTGTGTCTGTTGTTTTAATATGTAGTTAAATGCTATGTTGTGTGTGTATGTGTCCTATAGCCTTCATGTGTTCTAAATTCAGTTTTTCTCTCTGGCTCTAAGTGCTGTTCCAATGGGAACCACAGCAAATGATGAAATGAACAAGTTTTGGGCCAAAAACAACAAATTGAACCGACCCATGTCGCCACATCTGACCATCTATAAGTAAGTAGGCTATGTGTGATAATGAATAAATAAACTCACACTGCACCTCAGCAATAGCTGTCTGTGTCGAATTTCAGTTGTGAATGGTGCCGAGTTGCTTGAATTGTCTGAGTTGCTTGATTCTGTTTGTACACTCCATTGAGTCTCCAGGCCATCACAGATATTCATCCCATGGAAAGACCATAGACACAGCTTTGATTCAGTGCATTGTGACATTGTTTATGGATCAGGGGAGCACAACTACCTGTAAAGCACAAAACAACCATTCCTCACAAGATAATTTACTCATTTATGTATGTAATGATCCTTTATCACTTTTGCTAGACCAGCTAGGCCACAGATGTGTATTAGATTAAACGTCAGGTGACATGGCCGGGAAAAACTCAGGCCCCCAATTTGAACTTGATAGGTTTTATATCCAGTGTGAACTACAAATGCTGTGTTTGTATACTGTATGTGTGATGGCCATGTTGTCATTGTACCCTGTGTCTTGCAGGTGGTCAATGCCTATGATGATGTCCATCACACACAGAGGCACAGGAGTGGGGCTCAGTGGAGGTAATGTAATAAACCAACCTTGTACAGTATGTAGAAAGGCCCACATGATCACAGACCTCCAAACATATATTTATTGTTTTCTCTCTCTCGTTCTCTCTCTCATTCTTTTATTCTCTCTCATTATTTTATTCTCTTTCTCTCTCTCTCTCTCTCGCAGGTATCTCAGCATTTGCTCTATTAGCATTGGTGTTGCCAGGTAACTACCCATACTACCTTGACCTGATCCACTCCCTGTCCATTGGCCCTGCTCTGCTCAGCCTTGCCAAGTTCGGCATTGCCTTCCCTGTGTCCTACCACACCTTGAACGGAATCCGCCATCTGGTAAGATCTGTGTCCACAGCGCACAACAACACTAGTCAACACTATCTGTCAGTCCTTGTTTTTGTCTTTCCTTAATATCCACCTTTTCTTTCTCTCTCTGTTAGTTCTGGGATAGCGGTAAGGGATTTAAGATTCCCGAGGTGTATCGCTCGGGCTACGTGGTCATTGTGCTGTCAATACTGACCTCCATTGCTGCCATTGCATACATGTGAGCAGCATGATGAGAGCAGAGAAAAGGAGGACAGGAAGAGAGAGAGGGGGCGGAGACAATATGGACACGAGGGATGAAGGATACGTTAAAAAACGAATTGATGGATAAATAAATAAATATGTCTAACCAAAAATTTTTTTGTGTTTTATCATGGAAAGGCATAGCCTGGTCAGACTAACCGCTGCGCTCACGTTTTGTTTCACTTAGGTAAGTAAAACAGAATATGAGCTATTGCGAGATCAGTCAGGTTTCACAAGGCTAGAAAAGGATATTGTTGTGTGATGGGGAAATGAAACTGAAATAATGCAAATATGACCATAATAGCACCCTGTTTGTTATCTAACTGAACAATAATGTCACCATCTCAAATGGCTCACTATGAAATCCACTACTTTTGACAAAGGGCCCATAGGTCAAAAGTAGTGCACTATATAGTAAACAGGTTGCCTCTTCACAAGGTAATGTCCTACATTTGTCTCCTATTATGTCTTCCATTTATCTTTAATAGATCCACATTTACATCACTCAGAGCTTCAAATCACCATTAATTCCACGTGCAAGTCAGAGCTTAAGCTTGTGTGGTGTTTTAACTGGAATCTGTTCTATTTATTCAAGCCCCAAGTTTTGTCTAGATCTGAGTCAGTATCCTCTTTCAGCCACTGTATCTCCGCCACAGCGGGAGTGGAGCGTGTGGCGCACCCTCAGCCTAGTAATGGACTCTGTCTCTCTCACATTGTTTTGTGTGTCCACGTCACACCTCACCATTAATAGCAGTTTGTAGCCAGGGTCGAAGGTTGATATGAAAGCTGACTTGAGATGGTTTTCGGAGATATATATGAATCCCCGCACACTGCTGAATGTTCCCGCGATTTGGTGTTTGAAACGTATTAAACTGTGGGAGCATTAATCAGTGTGCATGCGTGTATCTATCTTTATTTCATGAGCACCTGCGAGTTATTGGATGTGCGTACACTACGTCTGAAACTAGTTATGATTTCTGAACTAACTACAATGTGCCTGAGGCTACACCTCTCACAGCCACACAGGAGCTGTGCTCTCACTCGCTCTCTGCACCTGATCCTGTTTGGTTTTGTTGCAGTCTAAAGAGAATACCAGGCTGTGATATAAAGGTGGGTCTCAACATGCTGTTTATTAATGTGTGTCTGCGTTTCAAATGGTACCCTATTTCCTGAATAGTGGATACCCAAATCAAAAACCGCGGACAGATGGTAGCATTCGCGCAAAACTAAAAGAACGAACCACTGCATTTAACCACGGCATGGTGACTGGGAATATGGTTGAATACAAACAGTGCAGTTATGCCCTCCGTAAGGCAATCAAACAGGCAAAACGTCAGTACAGAGAAAAAGTGGAGTCGCAATTCAACGGCTCAGACACGAGACGTATGTGGCATCATATCACCTCCGCCTTACCTGACACCCTAGACCCACTTCAGTTTGCATACCGCCCCAATAGATAGTACCCTCCAAGCTCATCATTAAGCTTGGGGCAAAGGGTCTTAACTCCGACCTGTGAAACTGGGATCCTGGACTTCCTGACGGGCCGCCCCAGATGGTGAAGGTGGGAAACAACACCTCTACACTGATCCTCAACACAGGGGCCCCACAAGGGTGCGTGCTCAGCCCCCTCCTGTACTCCCTGTTCACCCATGACTGCGTGGCCATGCACGCCTCCAACTCAATCATCAAGTTGCAGACGACACAACAGTTTTAGGCCTGATTACCAACAATGACGAGACAGCTTACAGGGAGGTGAGGGCCCTGGCGGAGTGGTGCCAGGATCATAACCTCTCCCTCAACGTCAACAAAATGAAGGAGCTGATCATGGACTTCAGGAGACAGCAAAGGGAGCACGCCCCCATCCACATCGACGTGTGGCAGTGGAGAAGGTGAAAAGCTTCTAGTTCCTCGGCGTACACATCACTGACAATCTGATATGGTCCACCCACACAGACAGTGTGGTGAAGAAGGCGCAACAGCGCCTCTTCAACCTCAGGAGGCTGAAGAAATTCGTCTTGGCCCCTAAGACCCTCACAAACTTTTACAGATGCACTATTGAGAGCATCCTGTCTGGCTGTATCACCGGCAACAGCACCGCCCGCAACTGCAGGGCTCTCCAGAGGGTGGTGCGGGCTGCCCAACGCATCACCGGGGGTACACTGCCTGCCCTCCAGGACACCTACAGCACACGATGTCACAGGAAGGCCAAAAAGATCAAGGACATCAACCACCCGAGCCACGGCCTGTTCACCCCGCTATCATCCAGAAGGTGAGGTCAGTACAGGTGCATCAAAGCTGGGACAGAGAGACTGAAAAACAGCTTCCATCTCAAGGCCATCAGACTGTAAAATAGCCATCACTGGCCGGCCTCCACCCAGTACCCTGCCCTGAACTTAGTCACTGTCACTAGCCGGCTACCACCTGGTTACTCAACCCGGCACCTTAGAGGCTGCTGCCCTATGTACATAGACATGGAATCACTGGTCACTTTAATAATGTTTACATACTGTTTTACTCATTTCATATGTATATACTGTGTTCTAGTCAATGCCATCCTATTCAACTATTGCTGTATACAGTGCCTTCGGAAGTATTCAGACCCATTGACCTTTTTCCACATTTTGTTACGTTACAGCCTTATTCTAAAATTAATTAAATTGTTATTTTCCCCTCATCAATCTACACACAATACCCCATAATGACAAAGCAAAAACAGGTTTTTATTACATTTACATAAGTATTCAGACCCTTTACTCAGTACTTTGTTGAAGCACCTTTGGCAGCGATTACAGCATTGATTATTCTTGGGTATGACACTACAAGCTTGGCACACCTGTATTTGGCAAATTTCTCCCATTTTTCTATGCAGATCCTCTCAAGTTCTGTCAGGTTGGATGGGGAGCGTTGTTGGACAGCTATTTTCAGGTCTCTCTAGAGATGTTCGATCGGGTTCAAGTCCGGGCTCTGGCTGGGCCACTCAAGGACATTCAGAGACTTGTCCCGAAGCCACTCCTGCGTTGTCTTGGCTGTGTGCTTAGGGTTGTTGTCCTGTTGGAAGGTGAACCTTCAACCCAGTAAGAGGACCTGAGTGCTCTGGAACAGCTTTTCATCAAGGATCTCGCTGTACTTTGCTCTGTTCATCTTTGCCTCGATCCTGACTAGTCTCCCTGCCGCTGAAAAACATCCCAACAGCATGATGCTGCCACCACCATGCTTCACCGTAGGGATGGTGCCAGGTTTCCTCCAGACGTGACACTTGGCATTCAGGCCAAAGAGTTTAATCTTGGTTTCTTCAGACCAGAGAAACTTGTTTCTCATGGTCTGAGAGTCCTTTAGGTGCCTTTTGGCGAACTCCAAGCCAGCTGTCGTGCCTTTTACTGAGGAGTGGCTTCCGTCTGGCCACTCTACCATAAAGGCCTGATTGGTGGAGTGCTGCAGAGATGGTTGCCCTTCTGGAAGGTTCTGCCATCTCCACAGAGGAACTATGGAGCTCTCAGAGTGACCATCGGGCCCTTCTCCCCTGGTTGCTCAGTTTGGCTGGGCGGGCAGCTCTAGGAAGAGTCTTGGTGGTTCCAAACTTCTTCCATTTCAGAATGATGGAGGCCACTGTGTTCTTGGGGACCTTCAATGCTGCAGAACTTTTTTGGTACTCTTCCCCAGATCTGTGCCTCGACGCAATCCAGTCTCGGAGCTCTACGGACAATTCCTTCGACCTCATGGCTTGGTGTTTGCTCTGACATGCACTCTGGGACCTTATAGGCAGGTGTGTGCCTTTCCAAATCATGTTTAATCAATTGAAATTACCACAGGTGGTTTCCAATCAAGTTGTAGAAACATCTCAAGGATGATCAATGGAAACAGGATGCAACTGAGCTTAGCAAAGGGCCTGAATACTTATGTAAATAAGGTATTTCTTTTTTATTTGTATTTTAATTGCAAAAATGTCTAAACCTGTTTTCACTTTGTCATTATGGGATATTGTGTGTAGATTGATGAGGAATTTTTTTTATTTAATCAATTTTAGAATAAGTCTGTATTGTAAAATATTTTGGAAGAAGTGAAGGGGTCTGAATTCTTTCCGAATGGACTGTACATACTCCGGGCTCCGACATTGCTCATCCTAATATTGATATATTTCTTAATTCCATTCTTTTACTTTTAGATTTGTGTGTATTGTTGTGAATTGTTAGATATTACTGCACTGTTGGAGTGAGGAAGACAAGCATTTCGCTACACCCGCAATAACATCTGCTAAATATGTGTATGCGACCAATACATTTTGGTCAAAAGTAGTGCACTACATAGTTAATATGGTGCTATTTGAGATGCATGCTCAGGTGCTAAATGTTCTAAATGTAATTTCCAATACTGCAGGCATTTTCAAATCTGGGCCTTGAAGACAGTTCCACTGCTGATTTCCATTCTTACCCTCTAATAAATGACTGGGAGGACTCTAGGTGCGTGCGATACTGTATTATAAAAGATGCTGGAACACTGTAATTGTATTCCTTCATTTTCTTTTTATCCATTCAAGCGTGGCCAATTGTAAGATTGTAAGAGCTGACATTTGTTCAGCCTTGGGCTATTTATAGGCCTAGATTGTCATGTTTTTGTATGAGAATGTATAGTTTCTTATTTTTCAATAGAAGCAAGAGTAGGCTACCTGACGCTCTTTAGATCTCAGGCGCATGGTATAGAGAAAAAGAGGTGACGTAAGGAAAGAGTAATGGATTCTATTCACCAAGCGAGATCGGGGGTAAATCTCCATGATGACAGCATAATTTTATTGGATGCTTTTATCTGCTATTTACAAGTTATATTAATTGTTACAAATGCACTTAATATTATGTCTTTTTTCAAATAATTACTCAGCGTAATTATGCATGAAATCAAAGATGTTCGCCTATCCCTCAGATGAAACGCACAGGGACTGATATCGCCATCTTGCGCTGCATAGTGATTCGGTTAGCGCGACCTCTACGGGTCTGTTCGTGAACAGCAGCCAAGTGGTCCTGATGCTGCGTGATGATGCTGCAAGGATGCTTGATACGGTAGGGGTAAATATAAACCCGGTTTTCATTAGTTGATGTGACGCAGTCTCTGTGGCGCAATGGAATAGCGCGCTGGACTTCTAATCCAGAGGCTCCGGGTTCGAGTCCCGGCAGAGATGAGCTATATCAGGTGCCAGGCGGCTTTTTAGAAACATCAACCTAGCGAATGTATAAATTAGCAAAAAGCATACCTTTTATTTCACTACAACATTGTGTCCATACGAATGTGTATGTTGTCTCTCAATGTGGAGATAGGCAAAATAATATACTTTTTCTATAAAACGAAACATGCCATTCCCAGAACAGATGCGCTTTGTTTTCTCTAAGCCATTTATTATCAGTTATCATCGCAGCACCGCGATATCCTTTAGCAGTAC